TTTTGCACGAACCACAATCGTATTATTTTACCCCAACCAATTATGGATAAAACATCATAAAATGTTACCTCATATATCAAATTGTATCAAAATCACTGGCCTCTATAATGAACAGGAATTGATAAATTTTTATAACAAGATGTCATCATCAAACAATATTCATTAGTTGAAATCATGAGTCAATTCAAGCTAGGTCATCATCGAAAACCTGGAAACAGTAGACGGACATTTCGTCCTATTATGGGACTCCTCGGCAGTGCACATCCACGATCCCGCCTCGCGAGCGAGATTCGAACCCAGGACCTACCAGTCTCGCATCAGAGCACTTAACCGATAGACCACTGACTCGGCATCTAACGGTATTAATGTCTAACTTCAACCAATCCACGAAGTTTGAGCAACCGTTGATGCCGACTCAGTAGTATATTGGTTAAGTTCTCTACCGCGAGACTGGTAGGTCCTGAGTTTGAATCTCGCTCGTGAGGCAAGATCGTGGATGTGCACTGCCGAAGAGTTCCATAATAGGACGAGTTGGCCGTCCAGTGCTTCCAGGTTTTCCATGGTGGTCTAGCTTTAACTGACTGATGATTTCAACTATGAAAATACTAAAATCTTCACAAAACCCCTTCTGAATATTTATTAGCTTTATTGGTTCCATCTACACATAGATTCTAGAAAATAAACAATCACACTAAACACACATACCATTACGATTCCATTCATAAAACTTTTTTTTCAAATGAACAAACACATTAATTTGTTAATAAATTATTGGGGAGGGAAAAAACTGTAAATCAAATATTTGTTTTGTTATTTATCATGATTGTTTTTTAATATGCGTTTTTGTTTTATTTACATTGTCGTTAATCAGTGATTCGTTTGTTTGTTTGTTTGTTTTTTATATTTGCTTCATATTCAATGTTACTGTCTATTTTCTTTTCTTTTTTTTCTTTCTATTTTCTCTTAGCATTTGTTACTGCCTTATCAGTACTTATTTATCACATCACTATAAAATTGCATTTAAGAACAGAAGGTCCTATGAATTTTGGTGAAGCATATGGTATTTCATGGTTTGCATGTTTTCTACATATATTGGCAGCAATTCTATTGCTATTAGATGAAATTATTAATGAATTAGTTAATTTAGCTGGTCGAGTACATTGTGTACGTAGTTGTTTAAAATGTATTATACATACATATAGTAGGACTATTCAGAAAAAACGTCAATTATTTACTCATTATAATATAAAATTTGGCAATAAAAAATAAACAACTTTTTTTTAAACAATAATTCAATTATAAAGAAATGTTAACAGAACTTATTATTGATATACATACATAATTTAGAGAACTTATTTATATTGTTTTGTGTCTTTCTTGTATACTTATTATTATTATGAACTAAATATTCCAAAATGCTGATTTTCTCTCAACTGTAAGTGGCTCTACATCAAGTAGAAGAAGAGTACATTAGAGTAATTCTTTTCATTAAATAAAGGCACTTCAAAGAATAACATAAACATATGAATGATCGTTTTTCAATGGATTGATCTGTGACATTATTCGAGATCATAAATAAATGACAAGATTACACAAGCTATAAATAATGAAAAAAAGTGAAGTACAACATGATATTTTCAGAAATATTTTAAGGTATACCATAAGAATTCTAATTATTTTACTAATTATTTTAAGCTACTTAATTCCTAATAAGTAGCTAATTCTTTCCTTAAAATATTTGTGAACATTATTTTCTAAAAAAATTCCCATTGTAAATCTATTCATTAGAAAATGCCAAAATAATTCGTTCAATCTGACAGAAATTTTTTTCTACTTCCTGAATATAAATGTTTTTGATTTTTTTCTTTCGATTTCTATGCATACGTATTATCTTATGTTTAGGTTTTTGAAATAATAACCATTCAGAACTGATTAATAATAAGTACGTCGTAATTTACCAGTCTATTTCAATTTTCAAGGGGTGGGGACAGGGGACTTTATCTACTTTTTTTTCTGTTTTAATTTATAACCTTTATTTCAAAAAATTTTTTTAAATACAATTGGAAATAAATAAATATGATTGTGACTGGCTTCATAAGAAATTATAATATGAATGAATTTTAATAAATCATATTATAATCTTTGTTTTAAATTCATTTGTAAGTAAGTAACTTGAACTTTTCAGTCATAATGAAGTGAGAATCTGAATTGAACTATAAATTAGATGAAATTTGCAAAAGAATACTGAGATGATATTTTTGACCTCATGGTAAAATCGCAAACATACACAAGTTGATTTCTTCTTTCTCTTTAAGAAAGGAACATTATACCTCAAATGTTATTGCGTGGTGAAATACAAAGCTATCACTAAAGCTTAAAGATTTGAGGTTTATAATAATAATGACAGGATTCAGCAAATATGTTTTTCATAATAATGTGTATATAATAGTCTTTATCAATGATAAACTAATTACTTGACGGTAAACACATGATTTCAATAAAAATGGTTAAAATTCCAAAATCATAATTCATTTACTGTGAAAGGTGTTATTATGGAGATTATAATCATATTCTCACTGGTGACTGACTTCAAGATACATATCCTGGAGTTCTAGTGGGAAACAGTGACCAGTGGAGTTCAACCACATCTGTTGTGAGATAACAACTAACTGAAGACAATTGGTCGCTCAAACTTCGCGGATTGATTGAAGTTAGACATTAACACCGTTAGATGCCGGCTCAGTGGTCTGTCGGTTAAGTGCTCTGATGCGAGACTGGTAGGTCCTGTGTTTGAATCTCGCTCGCGAGGCGGGATCGTGGATGTGCACTGCCGAGGAGTCCCATAATAGGACGAGTTGGCCGTCCAGTGCTTCCAGGTTTTCCATGGTGATCTAGATTCAATTGACTCATGATTTCAACCATTTACTTTGACTCAGTAAACTGATATAGATTCAACAAACTGATATAGGATAGAATATACTTAACAAAATGGATGAAAAACGAATACATTAAGTTTCTTCATCTCTCAGTGCACAAATATTCTACTGAGAAACGAGCATATATTCAAAAGATAACAAAATGCCTATGTGAAACAAATAAAGCAGTATTTAATAAGATACAGCTTGTTGTATGCATTTTTTAGCTAACCTAAAATTTCACGAGAAATACTTTTATAGCTAAAGATAACTTATTTAACAATATAATTAAGTGATCATGTAGCAACATTAATTGAAACCTTTTGGTGGATAAAATATAATTATATCAGTAAAAACTTTACTATATGAATGTTCAACTGACCCAGTCCTGGTCATAATGATACTTCACTCTCATTTCTTTACTCATTTAAATATTCGAAAGCATCTATCATCTTCTATTCACATCTTAAATATAAAAGAAGCAGTTAAATACACGGAAATATATGTTAGTAAATTGATTCAGTAAAAGGTTGACTAGATTAGTGATTGACCTCATTTCTTAGCTTCAAGAAATTCACTAGTGTCTTTAAAATTCCCTCTATCCAAGATCCCAACAATTTTCCAGTATAATGTGCGTTCACAATTGTCTGCATGCACTGATATAAGCGAGGTAATGTCATGGTGTTTTGATTGCTAGTTGATGTTAGTACAGGGGAAGATGAAGGAGTCATTCACTTTGTCCGACGTAGTATTTCCCAGCTGGAACGATTTATTTTATAGATTATGTTCGGTTTTTCTTCTTTTATCATTTCATCCTTTTAGTTTGCATATGATTTATTGAAGTGGTCTTGTTCATTTGTGTGCTGCACCTATTGTAAACGGCTTTCTAGTGTAGTGCTTCGTTAATCGATCGTCTTGATAACCGTTATTATAACAATCTGAACGGTGTATAATATCAGAAGACAAAGGGAAGCAGCAACTACATTTTTATTGATAATCGATGCAGACCAGAAAGTTGTAAGCACATGAGCAACTGTAAGCAAGCGAAGGAAAGATGACGCAGAGTGGAGATGGCTGGGAAGCCAACTCGTTATAAGCAAGCATTAAACAACATTTATAGTCAGGCTACAATGAATGACAGACATGTGATAGGTAGGATAAGAAGTGTGCATACACATACGCTCATATAAAAAAATAGTCAAGGTCAATAAGCGAATAATTAATATGATCAAAATATGACTCATAACGTTATAGGTGAATTGACTTGTCCAGAAACTAGAATAAGCTATGTAGGTGTAATATAGTACACGACGTTACACTACTCCCTACAGCTTCAACATCTCGTTGTAATTTCTGATGCTTCATCTATTCGATGTAGTATGATCCGTTTGTTGCTTTCTTCAATTGATTTTGTCTCTACTGAAGCGTCGGGTTGGTATTCTTTGATGAAAAATTACTAGAATTTACAACAAGATTCAGGGGGGTTTATCAACTGTGGCAAACTTGTAAGGTCACAGGGTTTCCTTAGAATCACACTTAACTTCATGACCTTCAAGATTACGATGCGTCTGGGAATATAATGCTAATCGTCTGCAACCAGCTCTTCGTGTATTTAGCCGGTATGGTGTTCCATCTGGCAGAATCTTAACACCCCTGTAAATCTGTTCGTGTCCTATAGTATTAAAGGACGTCATGAACTTGTAGTGACCGGCCAGTCTCGATAAGAACACGATTGGAATAACAGAAACAACTATTATTATTGTAACCAATTGTACCAGAGATTGATTTACTGTATTTGTTTAACTGTGTCAGACTCACTTCTTGTTTCGCTATCCGCCTTGTTTGGTTCAAACTTTCTTACGCTCTGCCCATTTCGCCTGTACCCTTTGCCACGTCTCGGTATTATTTCGATACCACGAGATCGCCAATAAATATACTTGATCTGGATTAATAAAGCCTTCTGATTTACGGGTTATCAAAGGAACCAAGTCGTTTTTGGGCGCGTAATCGAACAGTAGTGGTGATCATAGTCCGTCCTCGACTCGACACCCACTACAAACTCACTTGCGTCTACGGATGTGTTGAACGTTAACAATACTGATGAGCCCGCATCAGGGTGACTTTTGTAGCACAGTAAACACGCATGGTACGTGTCATGTCTCTTGTCCTAAGCAGCTTAGACTTAGTAAATCGAGAGAATGTGTGTCCGGCATACTAAACACGATCACATTGCAGGATCTTTATATTCTTTCAAACCACTCTGATGCAACACAATACAGGAAAATTTCGCGTCATCCTTCTGATTTGGAATTTCTGAGATGTGGTTGATAAAATACTTGAGAGGAATAGGAATGTTCATGTCAACTTTCACCTTCTTGCGTCATCCATATGGTTGCAGTGACCATTGTAACTATTATTCACTAAGAAAGACTTAAAGACGACTGGAATGAAAAGAACTGGCATACACTCGCTTGTTTTTGAACTCGTCAAAACTGCTGGAAATTATGTCGTTAGTATCGTTATATCGTGTCCCTTTCTTCTTTCTACTGGATGCCTCGAAGCGGGATTTTTCAAATATTTACGAGGCATGATTGGAAAGTGATAAGTAGCAAACGAAGTGAAGAAAAAGTCTGAAAATATAAATAGGGGTGTGAAAATCAAGGTAGTTAGGAAATAAAGATCTGTGTTTGAAACAAGTGTATAACGTGAAAATTAATGAATATGACAAGTGCAAGAGACAAGTGGCAGGAAAATTGTAGTAGAGACGTAGTATGTAAGTACGTGCTCAGATGTTAAATAGGACAAACATGTTCACGTTGGATATATTTTAACCTTGAAACCATATGGAAAGATGTACCTTATATATCAAAGAAATCTGGAACTGTAGATATTCATTATCAAACGATAGCAATGGGTATTGCACGTACATATATAAACCAGAATTCGTCACTAGTTAAAACTGTGATGTAGTGGTATGTATTTTTAGAGAGAATCAATACCATCTATAAATAATGTGATACTTAACAACGAAAATGTATGAAACAGCTTTCCAGGTAAAAGTACTGACCGAAATCTACGAAAAACCGAATTGAGCAGGTAATTTCAGAATTTCAGTTGTAGCATCCAAATATGATTTAAGGGACAGTATATAAAATAGTGTGTAAAGTTCAGAGTATATTTCCTCATTATTTATGAGTATATATTTTCGACGGTTAGATTGATGTCTGAATGGAACTAGTAGTTCTAGAAAGCTTGTGAGCTATTATATCCAGACACAATATAAGGAATAGTATGCAAAATCTGAAGTGCAAAAATTTGTCATATGTGATTATTTTGTTTAAAACTGTTCAACCTGTCAATGGAATATGGAGCTAATCCATCTGTGTAGACAACATCTCTTATTACCCCTAGATTCATTATGGAATCACATAGTGATATTGTTAACTACAATGAAATTGACTTGACATCTGTACTATCGAAAACTATGGAAAAAATAATCCACAAACAGCTATTATCGTTTTCACTTTCGGCTAGCCTGATTAGCCCATAACGCCATGGGTTGATGACTAAGCGCTTATGCTTCACATTGCACCTCGAAGTTTTGGATCAAATTACCGAGAGAAGAGGTGTTGGTCATTCAGTGATAATTGTGTATTTCGATTTGAGTAAGGCCTTTGAGAGTGTCTTACACAAACTTTTTCTTCTAAAACTATCTTCATTTGGTATACAAAATCCTCTTTTATCCTGATTCAAATTGTTTTCAGCAGAACGTAGCCAAATCATCTGCTTTGGATCTTGCTACTCTAAGCCTGTGAATGAGACCAGTGGGGTTGTACAACGAAATGTGATTGGTCCACTACTCTTCCTTCTTTCCATCAATGTCATGCGCTCACTCTTTCAATACGGTAAACCTTTTCTTTTTACCATTGGCATAAAAGTGGTTTATTTATTCTCTTCTCCCACCAAAGAAAGCTATATATCAGCAGTGATCCAAGAAAATATGAACAAGTCATATGAATGGACTGTGTTGTGGAATCCGTCATAAAAGTGTGATTATTTACATTGACCTCAGCCCTAACCTAAATCTGGCTATATACAAACATACACTGCAACCTCTCAACACTGCTTGTGACATGCGTTTGAAGTTTTTGAAACTATTCTATGGATTTTAGATGCCTGAAAAACTGATGCCGGGATCAGACCATCCAAGAAGAGGTTCGTGTTGCTTTTTAAGTATCAGTGTGGGAAGCAATGATTTATGCAAATAAGATTTGATGTTCATCCGACTGACTATAGAGCAAAGTAGAATCTATGAAACCTTGTGTGCTTATTCGTTCATTTTATTTTATTCTTTCTTTTCGTCTACATATCCGAAGACAGCTTATGTTTGTTGATGTTATTATTATTATTATTGTTATCATGTTTGATCCCCTAGCACGTTAGATATTCCTTTCTTTCTTAATTACTTTTCTCTCTCCTGTTTTTCCATTTACACACCCTTTGTTCTTAAGAATCCTACACATTACATAGTGCTACACCTATGTAGCTTAACTTTGCCGATTCTTTGTATCTCTACCATACATATATATTATCCATACAACTTGATAATTGAATATTTTTCGCAGTTAATTATTACATTCATAGCATCAACCTGATTATTACTGCAGGAAATCTTGCTCTACCATCAACTCTAACCGGATTATTGATTTCTTTCCTTATTTGTCTATCTTTTCATTCGTTTCGTAATGAACACGTTCTTTCTAAAACGAACTTAATAAATGATTCACATATTTCACGTTTATTTCCTTCATTGTTTTCTTTATAGTCAACTCAATATTCTTCTAAGATCTAGAAGACCTGTTTAAATGTGGCGAATGTTATGCGAACATCACTAAAACTATGTGTGATTATATTCCTGAGGAAATCGCCAATGGTTTTCACAATACTAATGTGCCGACAAGCTGTTTGTGAACAACAGTAATTATAAAGCATGGAAACGACTGTAGACCATCAACGCTGATGTTCTGTGTCGAATGATTGGAGGCCTACTGAAGTTGGACGGGAACAGTGTAATGAACAAGCTAACTTCGAAGTCACACCTCGCGATCATCAACGACCCTACACTACCTACTCGACAGCTCATAGTGTCATTCAACGAATACTAACAGTATCAGAAAACAGGGATAATTGATCCTTTAAACGGTTCATAACCATCTCCATAGGACAAGTTTTCCTAAATAAAATAAAATAAATGATTAGCATTTTGCCGAGATCGAAAACGACTAAAATTAAATAATACGACCAAACCATTACACCTTACCTTACATTCGTGTCTTGGTGGACACCTTGAAAGGTATGATTATGGCGTCTGATAGGACATTTTTCGCCACCAACATTTGTGGACCATTTTACAAGATCGTCAAAAGCAGTGAACATTAAAGGCCAAATTTTTTCATGTGTTTTCAAAAAGTTATGGGGTACATATTTCGGTTGTCGCACATCTATTTCCGAAAGCTGTGAAGCCTGATAGAAGTCCTGATTATTCTGATAAGGCAAGCATGCGCCATTTTTTATAGGCATGGCCAATAGGTTACAATACTGGTTCACAGATAACTTGGTTCCGAAGTAGGTCTGTTAAATAAATAAAATCTGTGGTAACAGAAAGCAGAACATTCATTAGATGAACTAGAGTCAATGATCAGAATTACGCGTCAGTACTGTACTATGAGTTCAGTTTCGAAAATGGCATCGCGTCCACGTTCTGGCTTTAATAAACAGACATCATGTCTAAACTCGGAATTTGTATGTTAGAACCGTTATGCCACTGGGTATCTATACAATACAACTGTTTCAAACATTAACTAAACTCTTAATTGCTAAGTAATTCCGAATCGCTGCCTCACACTCACTGGTCTATAATATGATACAACTTTTAAGACCGTTGGTAACCCTCGTTCTATTGACGTGAGAAACCAGACTAATAGTGAATAGGTTTTTATTTAGACCGCGTGACGGCCACAGTGGAGAGGGGGATAACCTGTTCAAATACACATTTTTTTCAACATTCACTGTATGATAACATAAAACATAACGCCTATAAGATATAAAGAATACATAAAGAATAAATACTTGAGCTCTTTTGTTTTGACATATATTTAGTTGTTCCAGTTCAACTCTTAAACAATCAACCTAAGCTATTACACAACTGCTGAGCTAAGAGTTTGAAAGCTATTTTAACACCTGCAGCCGAATCACAATGGACAAACAAACTTTCACTGATCGTGTTTGTAATTCTTAGCGCAGTGAATATTGATCGTGAGTGCACTACAGCTAAACTCTTCTATGGGACAAATATTCCACTCCAAAAATACGTGGATTCCTTAATTTCAGTCAGAATGGTTTATATCCTCCAAATGAACTGTTCACAAACGCCGAGAGTAAGGTTCAGCCAAATTTAACACGACTGTTGTGTTTTTGTCCCTTATTTTTGTCATCGATGACCGAGGGCAAATAAAAATGAGTAGGAACCAGAAAACAATTGGTCACGGGTTCATATTTCGGTAAATGAATTCATTAACATATACAGTGGTAATAAACAATTAAAATACAACTAGATTGGTAAATAAAACCCGACTGTAATAATAGTAACATTGGAATAACATCAGATATAGACATTGCAACTGTATTAGGTTTATGATAACACTTGCACTTAGAATCGCCAGCAAATTCACTAGAATAGAAATAACGCAAATAACAGGACTACCTGCAATTGTACTGTAGAGAAATTAATTCAAGATTGCATTAGACTGGTCTATTCTGAATTGTATTGAAATGAATGCAAATCGTAATGTGTTAATGAGTGTTTCAAGTATCCATGGTTCAATACTATGATGGAATGCGAACACCAGATGGAAAGATAGATAAACAGGCAACCCGACAAATGAATACTAGGACGATTCACTTGTAAGACATTCAAATTAGTCACACAAATAGGACAAGTCTACCAAGGAAATAAAACCAATCTTTTCGACAGTCATATGCTCAGTCACGTATCGTATGCCAAAATGAGTATACAACTATGTCCAACTAGTATTTCTGTATTATATACCGTATTTAGTCGACTGATCATTTCGCATACCCTCTTCTGTATGGTATACACGATTTCTGCCCAGATTTTGTTTTTTATAAACGACATCGCTTAAGAAGGACATAGTAGAGTTCTGAAGTACCTCAGTGTTTGGAGAGATAGAAGAAGACTGGTATATTACTACGGGCTGACTTAAAGCATTATAATTGGAAGACAGCTATTTTTCCAACGGTCTTTACGTTACACGAATCAACAATGATATAGTAGACATTGTGGTACAACACTTAGCGTTCACAGACCACAAAGAAAACCTTGCAGTTCCTAAAAAATGAGCAAGATCGACTCTTTCTGGCAGAACCACGAGGCTCTCTAAACACCTATAAATTTATTATATATGAGAAACTTTAGTTACCAATTGATTTCACCCGATGATAGGATGAAGCCTTCACACACGGGTAGTTTAAAGTCCAACCTAGAGTTACTATGTGTGTGACAGCGGGAAGGAAGTATATGGACAATCACGTATAGTATGATGAAAAAGGGAGAAACGGAAGTTAACGTGGTTGCACAACTCAATAGCCATACATGATAACCTAAAACTTGTTAATGAAAACAATCTACAACAATGAAAGCCGATATGGTTGATTAATTTTTCGTTAGGTCATTTGATATTCACACAGAAGACTTAATACCGCAGAAAAACGTGATAAACTTGTAAAAGTCATTACGAAAAATGCTGAATCCATCTGACTGAATTCGAAATGCTAAACATATTAACTAAATCAGTATTAAGGATGCATTATCATACAACCAGAGCGTAACTTGCGCTTTGCCCCACTCTTTAGGTTGTTGATATCCAGCGATTAAGGGGTATAAGCGTGTAGTGACCGGCTTGTCTCGGCAAGAACACGATTGGAATAATAGAAACAATCATTATTATTGTAACCAATTGTACCAGAGATTGTTTTACTGTACTTGTTTAACTGTATCGAAGTCATTTCTCGTTCCACTCTCTATCTTGTTGATTTGAACTCTCTTACGCTCTGACCTTTTTGCCTGTACTCGTTGGCACGTCTCGGTATTCTTTCGATATCACGAGATCGCCAATAAATATATTCTACCCGAACCAATTACAGCCTTCTGCTTTGCGAGTTATCAAAGGGATCAAGTCGTTTCTGGGCGCGTAATCTCATCGTAGTGGTGATCATAGTCCATTTACAGGCGAGGCCGTTCGGTCACTAAAATTACACTAGCTACGGCCCATTCCATCCAGGTTTGTACTAGTGGTCAAAGTCGTTAACCACAACTCTGCGACAGTAACGTTAGACAGAGCTGATAATTCTATCGAACGATTCAAAAATTGACAATGGAAGCAGACTTTTAGTTTTTCTACGATCATTTATTCCGTCACCCTTTAAATATAACCTTATTAATCAGGTCTGTATGATCAAGTGAACTCAAAAGCCCAAAAATTATTCACTCTTGGTCGCCTGAGCAATGAGTGTTTAAACACTGTGATTCACTCGCATATGCATATATATTTGACAGAGAAAACATATTCACGGATCACTCTTTTCGCTGTTTTCTGGATTTTTCACTTAAAATTAATGATTGAAGTACATTTTTCTTGACAATCTTCTTTTTATTTCTTAAACATTCCTAACGGTCAGTTGGTTGTCGCTGTTGCGACTTTTGTATTTGAATTTGAAGGTAGGCAGCCATTCTTTCCACGATCAGTCTTACGAAATTTCTAAGACCGCGTTCGGTAAGCAGGAAGACAACAGTGTTTAATTTGGCTGATCTTGTGAGTCAGTGGATTGTGTGACTCTCACAGCGAAGTGTCTATATGGTCCGAGATGATTTGTTTCATTTGATAAAAGAATAAACAACGTTATATGAAAAATACCCATACGGTGTTCCGATTAATTATACAGGTAAAGTACTGAAATACTTCATGACAACTGGCATTCCACAATAACATGGTGCATGTCATAAAAAGCTTTTGATAAGATGTTTTTGTTATACTGTCTTATATTTTATGAAAAAATGTTCCGTTCCTTGTTAATAGTTCCATTGAAACACAGTACAGGCACCAAATCCACTAGAACAAATTTTGTTAATTTTCCATCATAAACTTTGAAATCGAGAGGCTTGTAAAACTATATGGACAAATGATAAAGACTTACTATGTGTCTACATCAAATTCTCTTGAAATTGAACAGCTGTCGACTAGCGCATATTTAAGATGAGTTCTACTTGGTCATGTGTGGGTTGTTTGTTTGTCTCCATACTTTTTCATGTGTACTCCCAAATTTGTCTTTGTTTATGTAAAATTAATAAAACTTGTGTACAATAATTAATTTTGAACATAGTTGTTCTGTTGGCAGTGAAAATAAACTTAGAACTATCTGTAATGCCTTGGGCTTACATATGGAAGGTGTTTCAGAGATGTCGGAATCGTCTCGTTTTCCGAAGGGCTGTGTTAACCTATTTTGTTCACAATCATATCAACCTAATATATCTTGTTAGTTGATAACACTTTGGTAATAAATGTATTTCTTTAACTATTTTGAATAAGACCGTCTTAGTTGGCAAGTCTCGTACTAACTAATAACCAAGTACTATGAGATTCAGTGTTTGTTTAAAATTGTAATTTGATAACTTCCAAACACTGGTTGTTGACTGTATCGTACATAGTTCTTGTTAAGGCCTAGGTGACCTTAACCAATCCCAGCTCTTTAGCAGATTTCCGTGCGCTTAATATAACTTCTGTATTCAGTAGTAACATAAATATTTTGAGGGTAAACATGTGTGCTTCTCACAAACCAACTGGATTGCTGAAGTTGGCTTTTGTCTTGTACAACAGTTGCTCATTTGATCATATTTACTGTTATTATGTTGGAAAAAGTACTTCCATGCAGTCTTCATTAATTCGAGTAATGAACCATTATTAGGTTAATGTACCGCTTCAATGTCTTTCGTTAAAATACCAATACAATAATTTTAAACTTATAGTTTGCCTAAACTTTGCTGCACACTCCAGTATCGTATGAAAGACCAGAACTTGATCATACCTCTCTATTCAAGAACATATTTTTCGAGAAAAATTTCCTAAAGTCGGATTAATATAAGGCGGACTTTGATTTGTTAAATTAGCCATATAAAAGCTGTGAGTTCGTAAACGTACTTCGTTGGTAATTATGACGTGTGTTATGCATGAAGACTTAGTATTGCACCTCATTGTCATTTGGTCGAACGTTGATAGTAACACCGCATTCTCGACCCGTTTACTTCTCTAACAACTACTGGGTCAAGAATGCAGTGTTAGTATCGATGAAACTAAAAGTTATGTATGATCTTTGAGCGACGCCAAGGTGACCTTGAAGGCGTCCACCTGATAACTAAGACTAAATGAAGGTTGTAAACCGGTGGGGAATTAGAATTATGATTTACGGTGGATGATTAGGGCTACCAATTAAATTTAGGGTTATTGTCACGAACGGAAATCACCTATGGTGTCAAAACGCTACTTAGCCAAATGTATGCATGAATTTCGTGCCAAAACCTAAAACTCGTTATCTTATATTCGATCGGTTCGTCACTAACAAAGCAGAGATGTTTTGTAAAACTTCTTGCGCTGGTAAAATTATCCTGATTTCGTCTTTTTATGAAAAATAGCACTAGTAGTTCGTTCTTCAGGAATTAAAATATCAAGGTCCAAAATAGCTATCTATGCCGGTTTAGATATATTTATTCATTTGAACACAAACATTGATACAAAGGGGCATCAAAAATATATGCCTCACAAATCGTTGAATTTGTGTACGTAATTTGATACTGTCGCAGTACCCACACGGAAGCAGATGGTTCTCTTGGAGAGCCACTTTCTTTGCCTTTGATCCAAATCCTAAAGGCGGTGGAGCGACGTTAAGAGAAGCTGTCCCATGGTAGCTGGTGAATAAGAATGGGTTCACACCTCATTTGTTCTCTCACGATTCTGGAGCATATATGCGCCACTGGTTTGAAATCAGGGTTTTCCTACTACCCTAGGTGGATGCTGCATTCCCACCAACACAGGTTCAGTGCTGGAAACTTTCCGTCCTCTCACATTCAAGGACTCTAGCAACCGGTGGTTAGAGACCTTGAATGACATGGCTCAAAATCGTTTGCAATGGCGAAGGTGCATCTACTCTTTGTGTTCTCCCGAATTCTAATCTGAATCTCTCATGCCCCTATCCTTTTTCTCTTTCCAAATTTATTTCACTGTATTATACTCCTTCGATAAAATCTTCAAACCCTAATCTTCCACATAATGCTTATACTCTTACTACTTCTACCACTATGGGATTTGAATCGACAACTTCATCTCTGTGCTAATGTGGTATGGCAACTCGAACTGATGTACGTACGTACGTACGAAGTTCTACGTGGTGACTGACTGAATGACATTCGTAAACAACAACCTCTTCATGAGAAAGGTCTGTAGTACTTTACTGGTAGTGGCTATGTACGTGTGGCCATATGAGAGCATTTAGAGGGAGAGCGGACTCTCCCTACCCTCGGTCGCACTAGGGCATTTGTGTTTAAATGACGAACAGTTTCTTTGGCGAATATTCTGCTGGCCTGTATTCAGATAGCCTATCTTGATACTGTCATAATCGTTGACCTGCATTAGTATTTTGCTTGCCAGTTGGTTGTTTGTTCGGCTTTTATAAAGGCAACTAAATTTTCTTATCGAGGTCCATTAGGTATTAGCAGTCAACGTTTTAGTTCTTAATATTATTTTCCACTTTTATCATAATTTTCTGGTTTCTGTATTAGATTTACGCGTTATTTGTTTACCTTCATGTTGGTGTTGGCTGTGGCAATTTCCGTTGTATCCCGATGTTATAGCGAACTTATCCTTAGGTCTACCATTTTTATTTTAATTTCAAATGATCCTTGACAATCCTGACGTAAATGTTATTCAGTAGACTTAATTTTTCTGTCTTTCAGTTCACAAAACAAATCCGAAAATACTTATCAGACAGCGATGAACAAATTGTTAACATACTGAGAAAAAAATTTCTCCAGACAACTTACGAATTTCAGAAAGCTGAGGTATCTAAACCAATATTCGACAAATGCATAGCGGATATAGCATTCAATCCAGATAGAATCTATGTTATTTTGAATGACTTAAAAACAACGTTTAAGTTACACACACCAAAAATTGACAAAAAGGTATTATAATCGTTATTATTATCATTATTGTTTATCTTATCTACAGTCCCAACAGGTTATTACCAAACGACGTCTGGACTTCAAGACAATAAGTCAGGGTTAGTTTTCACTTTGATGTGTGCTAGTACTGTCTATTCATCAGTTGTAATCGACTCATAATTTAACTCTTTCTGTTACTTATAAGTAGTTACTAAACACGACTGAGTTCCTTGTATTTTCTTCACTACATCAGTATTTACAGCTATCTAGTGTAAAAACACTTGAGAATTCTTCTGATAGGGATATTCGTAATAATTTGTGTTTGACTGAGATATTTGTCTAGGTAGCGAGTGTTGTTGATGAATCTGGAGGTATTAATTGATCAGTCGAGCAATAATGGTATGTTCGACAGATTTTAGGACAGTGTACGTATGTTATCTGTCGGTGGTAGAGTGTGTGTAACATTGTGAAGTAATACATCACGTAGAAGCTCTGACAAAACCCCTGATTGTCTTGCCTCTACTATTCCTGTTTACTGTCAGTGAGTGGTCAGCACCTTTAGTTATTGAACAAATCACAGTTTATCGATTCGCAAATTCCATTTTTCCTGTTGTAGCATTACGACAGTAATCGTGCAATAAAATTGTAGTTGTGTATTGTTCAAAGTGCCTGACTTTGACTTCTCGAATAAGATCATTGAGCGATTAGTGTTTTGTACCACAAAATTTCTTCAATACATGGACGTGTTTGATATACCTACCTGTAACACGGAAATAGCTAAACAGTGTTGAGCTATCTTCTGTTCTCCTGTCATATTGACTAGTTTAAGGGTACAGATAATTTTCGATTTATTCACACCGAAACACTTTATTTCACTATGAAGCTATTTATCGTAGCAGACTTATTACAGACTAACAGTCTTCTTGTTTCTTGATATCAGGACCACTTTTGATTCTCTGGGACTGTCTGTTAGTGTGACTGAGACGTTCGACATCCTAGTGATTCTCTATAAAACGTTTCAGGTATAGTAAGACCACGCAACCACCTCTTTCGATTGTTCCACTAAAGCAATGAAGATAGGAAGGATTTCCCAATCTCACCATTCCTCCCCAACTTTGTCATCAATGACATTCTGGAAACAGCTGTGATTAAATAGGTAATAGTGATGCGGATCTGCTACTTAGGAAAACACTTCTTGACCTTGAGTATGTGGATGATATTGTCTCACTGTGGAGCTTCCGACTATCTAGGTCACCTTCGGCGCCTTCGTGATGCTAGTCTGACTGTAATGTTTCGGGATTACTACACGTCAATGAAAGCAGCTTTTCCATATGCTTGTGAAACCTGACCTCTCCGAGTTGAGGATATCAGGTGACTCTGTGTTCGATCATAGTTGTCTCCGAAGAATTGGTGACAGTGGCAACACCATTTTAGCAATTCTGTGTTCGACAATGTGCATTCGGGAACATTGATGATAATTCAATTGGTGCAACCATCTTGAAACACTGTCTTCGGTGGGTTGGACAAGTGTGGCGAACACTGTTCCGATGAATTCCACATGGTTCATTATTTGACGAGACTGGAAGTGGTTGGTAAAAGCAAAGGGTTTGTCAGTTGATGACACAATACTGTGACTGTAATCTATTGGTCTGTTTTGACTCCCTTTTGGGGAAGTAGATGTTATGCAGCTCAGCGGCTTACGTCATTACCAGACATGTTTCAGAATAGAAGCCAGTGACAGTGTTTCTGTAATTTTTTTCTCTAGATTGTTCGTGAAATTGAAAGGGTCTTGTTTAACCGTGAGAATTCTTCCGATACTATTTTACCTAATAGAATTGTTTCTTCTATTATTTACAACTCTCGTCCACTTATTTTTATGGATTTATTTCCTTTTTTTAATCATACTCATCTTTCTTTTTCTATCTCTTCACGACCTTATTTCCTTACTGTATGTCGAATATTTATTTTGATGTTCCTTCGGGCTATTATTAATTTTTAATTAAATTAACTAGTGAAAACCTCTTCGCAAATATCGCCGTGATCGTCCTCTCGAGTTTCAAATCTTTGTCACTACTGTACCGTTGCTTTTTTACTTTTTCAACTTTCCTTATCAGATGTTGGGAGTTCACATATTAAATCACATAATTCCCCTAATCGCTGTACAGATGATGACATTTCTCATAAGAATTCGTCTCCAGTGTCAAGTTGTCCCGGTGATGACGATGTGATCATCGTTGACTCACCGGGTTCTTCAAATGTTATAAAACCGCCATCAAACTCTGTCCAGTCGTCATATGGTTGTTTAAAGAATTCGACATCTGAAAATGAAGATTGGAAAGAGAAGTGTGTTGATAGGAATAATGAAGATTGCGGTGATATTCAGAATGATAAGAGATGTAAGATACTTGGTCGTTTAGAGTGCCTTATGACAGTAAGTGTTTTTCGCGTCTCTGTTTCATTCTGTCCTAGATTTCTTTATTGATCATTGCTTTTTTTGTAGGTCATACCGTTTTTCCAGTTTTTGTGCAGGATGTAATGTTGTTTATAAGAACACTAATTATACATCAATATGTAGTCGTTTGTGTAATCATAGTTGGAAATTCTATTTTCACTATTCATTACTTTTTGTTGTTTATCAGCTTTTAGTCATTACGTAACCTTTTCACTAAATATTAGTTCATGTTATCAGATTTCAACTACGCGTATCTTTGTGTGAAAGGCAATGATGATTGGTCAGTATCCAGCTATATTCACACTGAAGAAGGAGCGAAGTGTCAACTTGAAAACGAATGGTTGAAAATCTCGTCCTTTAAACATTAAGCTAGTGTCCACTGGCTACCGCAATTTTGTACATTTGTCATTTAATCTAAAACATTCAAAACCCCTTCACATCCATAACTTTTCAACCAGTCAGTTGGTCTTTTGGCGCATACACGTGAATGCTTTTTTAATCTATATTATTTTTACTTTTTTAAACACAAATGTTTGTGCAAAGGGGCACCGAATACATATGTGTCACACAAGTCACTTGGTTTGTGTATGGGCTATGATACTGCTCGGGTGTTCAGACCGAAGCAGGTGGTTTCCTTAGGGGGCCACAACCGGGGCCTTTGACACAAAGGTCTGATCCACATGGCAGTTGAGCAACTTTAGCAAATGCAGTCCCGTGGTAGCCGGTGACTAACAATAGGTTCATACGCCATTTGTTCCCTCAGGATCCTAAAGCCCATGTGCACGATTGGTTTGTAATCACGGTTTCCCAACTCCCCTAGGTGGACCCTCCGCATCCACTAACCCGATCAAAGCTCCAGACATTCACTTTTCATCCTCTCAACTTCGGAAACAACAGTAATGCCGCCCGAAGGTAGTGAGTAGGACTTCCCTGGCAGTGGATGTATACGTGTGGCCATGTGAGATCATTTCGAGAGGGAGAGCTGACTCTCCCCACCCTCGGCCGTACCAGGGCATTGGGTGGCATATTATATGTTCACTGAATATAAATATTAAACCCAAATTTTACTATAGTTTGATCGAATTTTAACGTTGCTTATAGGTTTTTACTGGATTATCACTGGAATATATGGTTGATAAATGCAAGTTGTTGCGTCAGTATTGTCCTTTTTCAGCTGAATTGTTAGGGAATAGTGAACTAGTTAAGCGCACTGACCACTGTATTTATCTCCGAAATTTCATCAACCCTAGTGAATTAATGTTTGATAGATTCTCTGGATGAATTCAGAAATGTAACTTGGGTCACTTGTGGCGTAGGCGAGGTGTTTGTTGGATTTTTAAGTTGGTGAGTGTACTTCACAACAATGTTTTGCTGTTGGTTTTTTGATAATAGGCATTTTCAAGGTATTGTTCTCAAGAACAGTGTAAAAATGTACGGTACTAGGCGAATATACCAAAACAATTGATGAGACTGTAAGTTTCCATTGACTGAAGTGGTCGGGACATTTGTTACGTATCCGATGCTACCACCTACTTAGAAGTGCAATTGTGATTGAAATTGAAGTAGGTTCATAAAAAGCTAAAGAGTCCCACAATAAATGTGATATCGATCCACAGAATCACTAACTGTTGAACCGAGCTGTATTGTTGAATACAGATTACTTGGTTGGGGTCTATGCGAATATCGCCACTCATGTGTGAAGGCGTTATATCTTGTGACCGCCAATTGTTAAGAGTTGTACCTGTTATGACTTGATCAAGGTCGTCGCCAATTTGTTGTGGCTTTACAAAATAATAAAGGACGTGTGCTTAATCGTTATTGGTTTTATGTCCGGCTTCTATCACGTGAATTATCCACCAATGGAAATACGTCTCTTCCAATCTTAACACTGTGACAATCAATGACGTTCAACTGGTATGAGTAGTCTAGCGTCATTATTGGTCCATTGTCCGCCTAGCCCTTCCACTTGAGTCCAAAACACCAATGACAGCTTCTGTTATGCGAATCATTTATTCCAAGCATACTCAGTTTATATACCAGACAGACAGACCGCTTCACACCATAAAATAGAAAATAATATTTGTACAAGATCAAGCCAAATGTGGCTGTGAACGTGGGGTACAATAATTAATAGACTATAATTTAGGAACAGTAAATCGTATAATAATAATCCATAGATCAAAGTGAAGCTTATGATAAGATGAATATAGATATACACAATCTAGTTACTCAATAGTTAAGCAATAAGAATATATGTAGAATAATAGTCCAATAATAGGTCCTGGGAGTTACCCATACGTATGTCTTCGCTAGGATATAACAGTACCCGCCTATTAGAGAGCAGCGAATTATCGATCGGACCAGTGACACACGAAGCCCGTACAAACAGTCTAGAGTACTTGTCGGTCCTGCTTGCTACCTAGCCCAGCCAGTAAAGTTCAGAACACCAATCTCAGCCTCTGCAGTATAAATCATCATTGATCTGCAACATTTCTCTCCACTTTTTATTCCCCGGATTCATCCTTCTTTTCGAATGGTTTGTGAACGTCCATGATATATCAGATATCGAGCTGTTAACTGTTCAATGCTATGGGATCTTTAAGTCCCGAATCGGTTGGAACATTCTTGGAAATATAAACATTTACTGACCTATCTGTTCTTCCGGTGTATTTACTTTGGCATGTATGTGTAAATTGGCTAGTGCAGTTAAATATATTGAAAAAGATTGTTTGTTTATTGAAGTAGTTTGTTTCGCATAGAGTGATGAACCTTGCCTGTCGATCAGCAATATTCAACTTAGCATCTGTACTATGCCTAATTTATGCAGTACTTTCATTTCCTCTAAAGTTGAGGTGTAGGAAGCAAGTTTTTTTCAACTGAATTATACCTGACTCTTTCCTTCGTTTGAGCGTACTTGTCGGTAAATTTCTGTGGCTATACATTTTCGCTTAAAAACTTTCTAATAAATGCAATTCCTTCCAGGCTTTTCTCAGTATAGAATTTACTAGCGCGGTCAAAAAGACTTCGTACTATCCCCTTTTTATAAGTTATTGGATAGAAACTTATAGTTTTGATAAACTATGCTTCATGCGTTTTTGCGTTAGACATGCCTCTGTAGTTGACCATCTGGAGTTCGTTTAATTCCAAGATCAAGGAATTGAGATCTTTCCTCCTGTTCATGTTCTATAGCAAACTCGAATAGATTGTTTTGTTGAATAGATTGAGTAGGCATGTAGAATGCTTCAGTGTTACAGACATAAAACGTATTATCCATGTGTTTTCAGTATAGTGTATTTGTTTTTTTTATCGTATGGTTTGACTTTGTCTGTCCCGTGTTCCCAATAAATATATCATTATATATTGAACCTGGTGTGTTGCTTATGGCGATCCCGTCAATTTGGCGATACATCACATTATTAAGCTAAAATTTTGTATCCTTAGTAGAATTGACAAGAAGCTGTTGGAATTCCGTGCTGGGAGAAGGAAGAAGATCAATACATATCAGCAGTCTTTTTACAAATGAATCATTGTAAAGAGCAAACAAAAATGAAGTGATACTGTTAGTTTATTGAAAATGCTTCAAGTTTTCAGTCTTCTGTGGAAGTTCGAAACCATCTTTTAGACTGTAGGATACTTATTTCTTATGAATTGGTCCTGAACATTTCGCTAAACAAGGGTTAGTTTCGGGAAACCACGAAGTAAAATGAATTCATATTATTCTACCTCATTTGTTTTTCTTACTTACTTACTTACGCCTGTTATCCCTCGTCGAGGAGCATAGGCCGCTCACCAGCATTCTCCATCCAACTCTGTCCTGAGCCTTCCTTTCCAGTTCTTTCCAGTTGCTATTCATCCTTTTCATATCGGCTTCTATTTCCCGGCGTAGTGTGTTCTTTAGCCTTCCTCTTTTCCGCTTCCCTTCCGGATTCCAAGTTAGGGATTGAGTCGTGATGCACATTGGTGATTTCCTTAATGTATGTCCGATCCACTTCCAACGTCTTTTCCTTATTTCCTCTTCAGCTGGAAGCTGGTTTGTCCTCTCCCATAAAACGCTGTTGCTGATAGTATCCGGCCAATGGATGTTGAGTATTTTGCGTAGACAACTGTTTATAAATACTTGTACCTTCCTGATGATGGCCGTAGTAGTTATCCACGTTTCAGCTCCATACAGTAGGACTGTCTTGACGTTCGTATTAAAGATTCTCACCTTGAAATTGGTTGAGAGTTGTTTTGAGTTCCATATGTTCTGCAATTGTAGAAATGCTGCCCTTGCTTTGCCAATCCTTGCCTTTACATCTGCATCCGATCCCCCTTGTTTATCAACGATGCTCCCCAGGTACTTGAATGTTTCCACCTCTTCCAGAGTTTCGCCATCAAGTGTGATTGGGTCGGTGTTCTCCGTGTTGCATTTGAGAATCTTGCTTTTTCCTTTGTGAATGTGGAGGCCTATCGATGCGGAGGCTGCTGCTACATTTGCTGTCTTCATCTGCATTTGGTCGTGTGTATGAGAGAGGAGGGCTAGGTCATCTGCGAAGTCCAAATCATCTAATTGATTCTGAGAAGTCCATTGTATTCCGTATTTCCCTTCAGATGTCGAATTCGTCATAATCCAGTCAATCACTAGAAGGAAGAGAAATGGGGAGAGTAGACAGCCTTGTCTGACTCCGGTCCTTACTGGAAATGCATCTGTCAGCTGTCCTCCATGCACCACTTTGCACTGTAATCCATCGTATGAGTTTTGGATAATGTTGACGATCTTCTGAGGAACTCCATAGTGTCGAAGAAGTTTCCACAATGTTCTCCTATCCACGCTGTCAAACGCCTTCTCATAGTCAATGAAGTTGACGTATAGTGATGAGTTCCACTCAACTGATTGTTCAACAATGATCCGTAGTGTCGCAATCTGGTCTGTGCACGACCGATCCCTACGGAATCCAGCCTGATGATCCCTAAGTTCGGCGTCTACTGCGTCTTTCATCCGATTCAGCAGCACTCTGTTGAAAACTTTTCCTGGTACTGATAACAAACTGATGCCTCTGTAGTTCTCACATTGGCTCAGATCTCCTTTCTTTGGTATCTTGATGAGATATCCTTCTTTCCAGTCCGTTGGCACTTGTTCCTTTTCCCAAATCTTCTTGAATAGAAGGTGAAGCATGTTTGCAGTTATTTCAATGTCTGACTTCAGTGCTTCTGCTGGTATATTGTCAGGTCCTGCCGCCTTCCCACTTTTGATTTGTCTGATGGCCATCTTGACTTCTTCGATCGTTGGTGGAGTGACATCTATTGGAAGGTCAGTGTGAGCTGCTTCGATGTTCGGTGGATTCGATGGGGCTGGTCTATTCAGCAGTTCCTCAAAGTATTCTGCCCATCTTTTCCTCTGTTCCTGAATCTCAGTGATTGTCTTTCCTTCTTTGTCTTTGACTGGCCTCTCTGGTTTGCTATATCTCCCTGCCAATTTCTTCGTTGTATCATATAGTTGTTTCATATTCCCTTCTCTTGCAGCTTTTTCCGCCGCCGTTGCTAGTTCTCCCATGTATTTCTGCTTGTCGGCTTTAATGCTTTTCTTCACTTCTCTGTTTGCTTCTGCGTAGTCTGCTTGTGCTTTGACTTTCTCTGCTCGTGTTCGGCTGTTGTTAATTGCTAGTTTCTTGTTCTTCCTTTCTTGAAGTTTGTCCAGGGTCCCCATAGAGATCCATTCCTTGTGATGGTGCTTCTTAGGACCAAGAACCTCCTGACACGTTGAAGTTAGTGCTTCTTTTATCCCTTTCCAGTTGTCCTCCAAAGTAGTTTCTTGTTCTTCCAGTAGATCCTGTAGAGCTTGGAACCTGTTGTTGAGAGTTATCTTGAATTCATGGAGTTTGTCAGTATCTCGAAGGAAGGCTGTATTAAACCTTTGTAGTGCTGTTTGTCCAGTTGTCCAGTCTTTCTTTAGCTTCAGTCTCATCTTGGCCACAACCAGGTGGTGATCTGAAGCTATGTCAGCTCCTCTCCGGGTTCTCACATCTTCCATTGATCTTCGGAATTTTTTGTTGATACAGATGTGATCGATCTGGTTCTCTGTGGTGTGGTCCGGTGAGATCCATGTAGCTGTGTGTATGCGTTTGTGTGGGAATATTGTGCCGCCTATAACCAATTTGTTGAAAGCACACAGGTTTGCAAGTCTCTCCCCATTTTCATTTCTCTCTCCTAGTCCATGTCGTCCAATTACATCTTCATATCCTGTGTTGTCCACTCCAACTTTAGCATTTAGATCTCCCATAAGGATGGTGAGGTCCTTTCGTGAGCACTTTGCTATAATTGATTGCAGCCTTTCATAGAACTGATCTTTATCATCGTCGTTGCTTTCATTGGTGGGTGCATAACATTGGATAACATTCATTGTGATCCCTTGCTTCTTTGTTCTGAATGATGCTTTGATTATCCTGGGTCCATGAGATTCCCATCCCACAAGTGCATTTCGTGCTTCTCTGGACAGCATTAGAGCAACTCCCTGAGTGTGTGGCGCATTTTCCTATTCGTGACCGGAGTACAGCAGCATCTCTCCTGTACCTAGCCTTTGTTGTCCAGTTTGTGTCCAATGGGTTTCGCTGATTCCGAGTACTGCCAAGTTGTATCTCCTCATTTCCATTGCTATTTGGCTGGTCTTTCCTGTTTCCCACATTGTCCGGACGTTCCATGTACCTATAAAGAGTGTTGCTCTAGTTGTTAGAAGGTGCATCGGTCTCGTGACTTCCGAAGAATTTCGGCTTTCATCATGAGACGTCATTATTCCTTCAACTCCCAGGGCAGAGTTTAAATGGTTTGGATTATTTTTTCTGGTTAGCGTTTTTTTAGCGAGTTAGCTTTTCTACGGGATGGGGTCGCTAACCCCATGCCCAACCCTCCTCCTTTACCCGGGCTTGGGACCGGCAGTAACTCTAGAAGAGCTACAGGCGGAGTTATTTGTTTTTCTGGTTCCACTCAAATTGAAAGACAAAATATAATGGAAAAAACTGCATTTTGGTATATCCTTGTGAAGAAATAAATACGGGTAACTTCCGGGACCTATTATTGGACTATTATTCTACATATATTCTTATTGCTTAACTATTGAGTAACTAGATTGTGTATATCTATATTCATCTTATCATAAGCTTCACTTTGATCTATGGATTATTATTATACGATTTACTGTTCCTAAATTATAGTCTATTAATTATTGTACCCCACGTTCACAGCCACATTTGGCTTGATCTTGTACAAATATTATTTTCTATTTTATGGTGTGAAGCGGTCTGTCTGTCTGGTATATAAACTGAGTATGCTTGGAATAAATGATTCGCATAACAGAAGCTGTCATTGGTGTTTTGGACTCAAGTGGAAGGGCTAGGCGGACAATGGACCAATAATGACGCTAGACTACTCATACCAGTTGAACGTCATTGATTGTCACAGTGTTAAGATTGGAAGAGACGTATTTCCATTGGTGGATAATTCACGTGATAAAAAACTGGACATAAGACCACAACAAATTAGCGTACAGCTTTCTTTATTTTTTAAATTCATAATACATTTGGTTCATTGGTAGGTTAAAAATAGGCTGGTATATACCTACAATTTGATAATGCTTTGGAGCTAATCGTGTTACTGGAAACAGTGTGGGATACATCGAGTTTTTCGTTGCCATTGCCATTTTTTCCAACCTCGCTTGTCACACTTTTTACGGTCGTTTGAGCAATAAATGAGGTTTTACTGATACTAAATTGAAGACGACCAACTTAACTTCTATCCATTATTTCTTCTGTTTTACAAAACTAGCGTCTCTCTCAAGCTATTCGAGAATTGGAAGAAAAGGAACTTGATTTTAATGAATTGGATTCATCCAATTCACCTTACCTTAAACTGGATGTTTTAAAACGTCAGTATTTGAAAGTATGGCGTAGACATTGTGAACTACGTAATGTTGCTCGAAAATCTGGACGGATATTGCGTCAAAGATTTGTATATAATGGTATGTTAGTTTAGTTTTCGTTTTGCAAATTAAGTGTTTGTACTTCAATGCATTGTATAAACTTCGCTCAATAGCGTATATCTTTTACTACTATTCCCACGATTTAATTGATAATCTTTAAAACACCTTAAACGGGTTTAATGTACACTGTTTATCTTAAAGAGCTTACAGAAATCAACAAATGTGGCTCGATTCATTGTCACTTTCATAAGGATGAATCATTTACTTCATATGCTATATCATTTTGGACGAAGTCTGATAATTGCATCAATAGTTTAAATTATTATCCTCAGGTCTACTGATTTCAGTCGATTGTTGATTAGGTTTGCATCATATAAAACCGTATGTATACCGCCAGGGTAAATCACACCATGACAATAAAATCCAGGGTATAACATACTTCAGGACTTTAGTATCCTGTATATTGTAGTATACTAATTTGTTTATTGTATATTCTGGAGTCTGCATAACACTATAGGAGATAGTATTTTAGACTCAACTGGTACCAAGCATATCATGATAACAACAACATAGAGCATGACATAAATGTCTATCAACCCAAATCACCACCTATACCACGCTCTACGTTGTTGTTATTATGATATGTTTGGAACCGGTTGAGTCCAGAATACTAATTCCTATTGTATTATGTAGATTTCAAAAAAGTGCGAGTAACTGATTATTTCACTACAGAACGCAAGGATATCGAAGTGTATTATTTGAAAACAAGAAAAACCAAAAACGAGTATCGGTTCATGTAGCAAAAATACCACTTGAAAAAATGTATCGTTACATACATTCCAGTAATTAAGTCACAAATTCACGTATTCGGGTTTCAATCATAGTGTTCATGTTACACTAAGTGACAGTCTGTTACCCTGGTCAAATAAAAAGAGATGAGAAACGAGTTGAACTGCACACCTTATAATTTAATTTTAAATATCTTGGATTATTTTGTTGTCAATATTATGGCTGAAATGTGGTCAGTCTTGGTTGACATGTGTGAATTCTGTACAGATTACGTCAATATAGTCATTATCACACAAGTTGATACAAAATAGGTGGGATATAGTGAGCAGTAGACAAGTCTCAAATATGATGAAACATGTGTCCTGTTTTTACTGCTAGCCACATTCCATCTATTTTATATTAACTTGTATGCCTAATAGTTGAAAGTTATATACTTTAGCCACTAAACCACCACTCTCCGAGAATTAATTTTATCGTATTATCGTTGATCTAATACGGTGCAATTCTGTGGGTGGTGATAATCTCTTAAAAAAAATTGTGACAGTGATTTGGTGATACTGTTGTCACAATAGCTAACGTTGAAATTCACTAGACGATGCTGTCCCAATTTCGCTTCGATTCCTACCTATTACTATATTGTAATATTACTACTTTCCTATGGATCATGATCTATTAAGCCCTCTTGTTTGTTAATAATAAACAAATGTACAGTAGAATTTCATTCCCTATCAATACAGTTTGATTAATTTGCATGGAATAAATACGCTGTTATTCATTAGTTTAATAATTTCCATTTTTTATTCTACAGGATGCCAATATCCAAAAGTAAATGAAAAAATTGAAGAAATCGTTAATCAAAAAAGATTGTTTCCTGATTGGACTGATATTTATCGAATAGTTACTTCTGTAAACAAGGAAGAACAATTGAATTTGACGTAAGTACTATCGTTGTTATTGTTAATATTAAATTTGGTGATTTTTGTGTGCAAATCTTTATTTTTAGTTACTTCCATCAAGAATCAGCATCAACTTAATGATTATTAAGAACCTTATACAAAAAAATGCGCCTTAATGATGAATGATGACAGCTAACGCAAAATCAACATACAGGGCTTCCTCCTAAATGCTTTTAATCACCATATATTAGAAAAACAGTTCATTGGGTCATTCAGTCATTTGTCCTAGTAGCCATATCGCAAATTGATTTATGGAATTCAGTCAGTATTGTTAAAGACTAGACACAATATTGGTTATTACGTGACGATCACTTAGGCTAAAGGTTTGGATAACTCGTACTTCTTAATTTGATATTCTGTAGTAGTGCACTGTCGTTATCTTACATAGTGTCAAGATTAGAATTTTGAATTCTCACTGTACACGATTCACTTAAGCCACAGTGTTATATATGATACACTAGTTTACCTATTCAATGTAAGTTAAATATTACTTTAAGATAATCCTTGTCTCATATAACTACATATATTACTATTTCACTCCCGATTTAGCTAACTGGATAGGTTACTACCTTCCTCTAGAAATCTGGTTATTTCCATCGCGAAGTGTAATGGTTCGGAATAGTGTTTAAGACTTTTCGCTTCCGAATCCTCTCCACCTACTTTGATTTGGACAAACATATAGTATCACAATTCGTCATACTACAAGCAGACTCACTCAAAACTGAGTACATGGACGCGTTTTTAGTAGATAAGTTGATTTCATTCATTCATCTCGAAACCAATCACTAGTGAACACATTAATTCGATAATTTTTTACGGACGTTTCAGTTTCATCGAATGAAATATTTGTTGACGTGATGATTATATTGCTAGTTAAACATGAAAATGGTTTAATAATTATTTATTTTATGTAACTAATTTTATTAATCAAGGCAATGAGTAATAGTAGTCATCGTAGTGAAGATTTTGATAAGAGCGTTTACAAGTATCGTAAAATAAACCCTATACAAATTATATCAAATACTAAATACAGTATTGTCATATATGAATATGATGAAATCAAACAATTTTTAGTTATTTCATCTGACTTTGCCGAATTTCATTTATACTCAGAAGTTTAAACCTTTAAACAATTGGCGATCTAATGGTTTGTATATTTAACTTTGAGTGTTTCATGAGATAGACTTGTCCTGTGTTTGGTCACCGGTGGTGGGGTTGTGGGTAAACACAACCGAGTCCTATATTGAATGAAACATCTGTCAATCGCTCCTTGGTTTTTAATAGTTGTCTTAGATCGTTCCTTAAGTAAACTATGAATTTCGACAATCTGCAAAAATCACTTATAATTAAAAAAGGAACATTTCTTGAATTGTAAATATGAGTACATTGAATCATCCTTATTTTTATTGTAATGTATGATCATTTCACTAGTTCTTTCATCGTCATATGTTTAGGGGATCAGCTGTCAAATCTTTAGCGCGTGAAATCTTCATTGATGTCGGATATACATTAAAACAACGACGTCAAGATGATTTAAGACACGATTTCGGATGTCATCTGACAGATGACTTATGGTATGTTTTTTACTACTCTAAGTTTACTTTTATAAATTTGAATTATTTCAACTCTTATACCTCATGTACTGAGGTTTTGTCCGAAAATTTAAACATGCATAATGTTTTCTGGCGAGCCTATAGTCGTGCTTTTTACTATGGTGTGGCGCATATATATGTGGTGCCCCCTTGTACCAATATTTATGTGTTTCAATAAATAAATAAATATCAAAACAACCTTCGATATGTTACACAGGACTATTCCATGGGATTGTCTTTTGAATAAGAGTGTGACGTCACTTCCAGCTCACATCGTAAGAGCCTATGCTGGGACTTACTGTTTGTGTTGACTGAAAGTTTGTATATCTATGCAGTTGCATGGAGGATGTTGGTGTCATGAGTAGTGAGATAAATCTACGTATAGTGAAAATCATATCGGCATATGCCAATCTAGGCCATCCTTAGCGCTGTCATGACGTTAGTCTGACTGTGAAAGGTCGGGTTTACAACGCGTCGATGAAGGCAGGTTTGCTCTATACTTGTTGTGTAACCCTGGTTTATATGGGTTGAGGATGTTGAGGGACTACTTTCGTCCGATTACCACTGTTTCCGAAAGATTGCTAACCTTCAGTGGTAGCATCGTGTTGTTAGTGGTATGTTCTGGGACAGCGATGATAATCCAGTTGGTGTCACCAACTTGAAAAACTTACTTCGACGCGTTTTATGCATGTGACGAATTTCATCCCAGAGACTTCCACATTATGCTTTAGTTATCGATGTTTGGAGTGGTTGGTAGAAGTGGAGATGTGGTCTTTGTATTGGAATACGCTGTTGTTGAAAGGAAACTGTTACGTCTGCCGTTTGTGAACGTTATGTTTGCTTCCCTAAGCTAGTTTCGGATCCCCGAGCTAGAACTATACAGCAACTTGAAGACCAGAGAGAAGACACAAGTATCAGAGAAGCACTTTACTACAAGGTTCATTTATGTACAGAAAAACAGGGGTTTTATAGTAATTAAAAGACCATGAGATTCCATAGTAGCAGTATGTTAAACAGTCAATCGGGACCTCGTTATTTTAGTAGCATAGCTTCTAACTAATCGCTGATTGGTTGGGCTCTTTATGAGCCTCTGGAGGCTCTGATAGAGTTTACTGTAAGCCGACTTAATACCTCCCCTTTTTTTGAAGAAGCGGGGTAGGTATCCAGACTGCATTTGCTGATATTAAGTCGGCTTACAGTAAACTCTATCAGAGCCTCCAGAGGCTCATAAAGAGCCCAACCAATCAGCGATTAGTTAGAAGCTATGCTACTAAAATAACGAGGTCCTGATTGGCTGTTTAACATACTGCTACTATGGAATCTCAAGGTCTTTTAATTACTATAAAACCCCTGTTTTTCTGTACATAAATGAACCTTGTAGTAAAGTGCTTCTCTGATACTCGTGTCTTCTTACTGATGTTCAAGTCGCAGAGTAGTGCTAGCCTGGGGTTATCCGAATAGCTTAGGATCTGAATATAGTGTTCAACATACAAGATATAACAGTGGCGACGGGGTTAGCTTATCAAGATGTCATTTACCTTTGAACAATTTGAAGCCTTGCTGGAGCGTCAAGAGAAACGATTTGAGCAGTTCCAGGTTCGTATCATAGAGACTTTAACGCAGAAATTGGACCTAAGTCAAACTGGTGCTACAGATGATGCTTCTAAATCTAATGTCGACCATATTATTAATTCTATCCATGAGTTTAATTTCGATGGTTCGGCTGGTATTACCTTCGAAACCTGGTTCAGGAAATACGAAGATTTATTCAAGGTTGACCTCAGAAAACTTGATGGCGCCGCCAAGGTCAGAATACTCTTAAGGAAGCTTGGGACAACTGAACATGAACGCTATAGTAACTTTATTCTTCCGAAGAACTCACGAGACTTTAGTTTTGATGAAACAATTCAAACCCTGTCTCAAATCTTTGGAGAACAGTCGTCTCTATTGAATATCCGTTACCAGTGCTTGAAGATAACGAAAGAATCAGGAGATGACTGGGTGAAACATGCAGGTATTGTGAACCGAGAATGCGAGAGGTTCAAGTTGTCTTCTGTTACGTCCTTGAATCTGTCTACCCACTTAGTGCGGAGTATAATGTAGATTAAGACCTTGACACGATAGACTGACTGGCTTAACCTTGAGGCGAATATGCGTGAGTTCGAAATAGGGGTAGAGAGACGAAAACTATTCTGTCCCTGATTGGCTGGCAAGCACGAGAGAGAGAGAGAAGACAAGGCAGATGGAACACTAATCACTTTATTCCAACCCGATCTAGCACTCGAATTCCCAATTCAGATTAGGGTGAAAAGTTACATGAATAAATAGATGACTAAGCGGACCACAACGTACAATAATTAGAAAAATACAATCATGTCCAAAACTGGGGAATTATAGTAGGAAATAGGGTACAAAAGATTACGTCTAAATGACAATAGCTTTAGAACAGAAAATGCTATGGCAATGAATTATACATCAAACGAAAGCTTATGATCTGTAGAATAGGCTAGGGACAAAAGTAAATGTTACAATTTTACAAGCTTTGAATTAAACGAATTAACGTCCCCAAAAATAGCTTCCGTAATTTGTTAAGGCTTCTTGTTTTGCGGTTCACATCATCTTCCCCCTTGACGAAAAAAAAAGTTTTGTTAACACTGCCATTGACTGCGTGCATAAGGGAAACTGGACGGCGTTGTGGTCATTGTAAAAGAAAAAGGACCAATTTGGTTAACTGGAAGGAAAAAAAAAGAAAAGCGGTTAGTCACTAATTACAAACAGTAGCTAATATATCATCGGTATCTCCCCCCGGAAAAGTATGCTCCTTTCTTTGGGTCCATCTGCATAATATCAAGTCCTTTGCGTTTCTGTCGTGATCTCCCAATAGGATGTTGTTGACGTTGAACAGTCTTCTTAGTTGCAGAATTTTCTATGCCGAAACTGTCCAAGGAAAATTTCCACATTGAGCACGGTTTCTGGGCTTTCTGTGAAGGTGAGAATCGGGAACGACGATAGATTTTCCGCTTTGCCCCATGATGGCGATTCCATTGAGTTCCGATCTTTCTCACAACTATTATGGGAGGAGCCCAGTTTGAGTGATTTACTGGCTGAACAACACCTAGTGCTTCAAACCTTTCAAGTTCTTGATCAACGACTGACAGAGCAGCATAATTTACTGGTCGTTTGAGTCTGAAAATGGGCTTTGTATTTCGCTTTCGTAGACTATTTGCGTGAGATGCAGCCGGCATTTTAGAGGAATTAAATGCATGAGATTTTAAGACCTTATGATAGCATACTTTGTTCGACGAATTTGATGGAGAATCATTTTGTGAACATGATCCATCGGAGTTATTGGATTTAACATCATTGTGAGAACACATTAAATCGGAGGAATTCGATTCAGAAATAATACGAGAACATTTTACATCAGAAGCATTTACTTCATAGACATTAGGGGAACATGACACACCAGAGGCATTTGATTTAGAAATATCATGAGAATTTTGGATAGAATCAGAGCAAGAATCATGAGAACATACTTCATTTAATAAACTATTTAAGACATCAATCTTCTCAATCCAGTCCAATCCCAATAGATCTAAATCATGCCGATTTGTTAGATAACAAACGTCAGTGAATTTATGTTCCTTGAACTGCACGTTGCAGGTGACTTCTCCAGTTAGCTTCACTATGTCGCCTGAAGCATTTCGAGCAACATGCTCTGTTGGTCGGATGCGTGGGCACCCTAGCTTACGCCATGTGTTCTTGGAGATCAGCGTAATGTCGGAAGCAGTGTCTAATTGAAGACGAATAGGTTTTTCATTCACTAATAAGTTCACATACTTCCGTTTACTTTGAAATCCCACTTTAAAAGTTGCAAATGTGCTTTTGACTTGACTCTGTAGCTGTCGCTTCACCTTTACGCCACGATGTTTGGACTGACGTCTATCTGATGAGCAGTAACCTTCTTTATGACCAATGCGATGACATTGGCGGCATTTGTGGCTCTTAAATGGGCATAACTTCACAAAATGCCATGATCCGCAGAACCAACATGATGATGGTGGTTTACCAGAAGGTTTCTGTGTGTTCGCCGTCTTTTGTTTGGAAGGTTTGGAAGATCTGCATGCATTTATTGAAGCAAAATTGGAAGTCTTTGCATTTTGCTGTACCATCGTGGTATCATGTTTAAGATTTAACAACCGTTGACACTCGGTTGTGACCATTTGCAGGGTCATGTTAGGCTCCTGCTCAATGCGTGATAGAATTCTGGTACGTATGTCCATATCTTCCGGATTCTTTAATCCACAGATAAAAATCAGACATTTAAATTGATCTGCTGTAATTTCATTTATTCTAAAACGTTCGCATTCTTTATTTACATGTCCAGCGTATGTAAGATAATCATCAGATAAGGATTTAGATATTTGAAAACACTGATAACGGATGCTGAATAATGAGGATTGTTCACCAAAAATTTGGGACAAAGTTTGAACTGTCTCATTGAATGATAAATCTCGTGGATTTTGTGGCAAAATGAAATTTACATATTTGTTATATTCAAGTGTTCCGAGTCTTCTCAAGAGTAGGCGAACTTTGGCTGCATCATCAAGATTCGAGCATTCAACACGAAATGTGTCTTCAAAACGGCGAAACCAGGAATCGAAAATAATACCAGAATCGGGATCATAATTGAATTCACAAATAGAATTTGCGATGCTGTCATATTTATCTGACTGAGAATTTGATGATGAATGAAATGAGAGCTTCTGCATCAATGCATCTAAAAGCTTCATTTGGTTTGCATCATTCTGAGCTTGCTGGATTTGTAGAATAGTTTTAAGGTCGTCCAAAGAAACAGACATTTTGATTTGGATCAATCAATATTTAAAAAAAAAAAAAAAAAAAAAATCTCCGTCGCCACTTTTGTTACGTCCTTGAATCTGTCTACCCACTTAGTGCGGAGTATAATGTAGATTAAGACCTTGACACGATAGACTGACTGGCTTAACCTTGAGGCGAATATGCGTGAGTTCGAAATAGGGGTAGAGAGACGAAAACTATTCTGTCCCTGATTGGCTGGCAAGCACGAGAGAGAGAGAGAAGACAAGGCAGATGGAACACTAATCACTTTATTCCAACCCGATCTAGCACTCGAATTCCCAATTCAGATTAGGGTGAAAAGTTACATGAATAAATAGATGACTAAGCGGACCACAACGTACAATAATTAGAAAAATACAATCATGTCCAAAACTGGGGAATTATAGTAGGAAATAGGGTACAAAAGATTACGTCTAAATGACAATAGCTTTAGAACAGAAAATGCTATGGCAATGAATTATACATCAAACGAAAGCTTATGATCTGTAGAATAGGCTAGGGACAAAAGTAAATGTTACAATTTTACAAGCTTTGAATTAAACGAATTAACGTCCCCAAAAATAGCTTCCGTAATTTGTTAAGGCTTCTTGTTTTGCGGTTCACATCATCTTCCATGTCTGAAGACCAGTTTAAATGCTTAGTATTTGTCTGTAGCCTGCGTTCACCTGAGGATGCTAACATCCGAACGAGAATCCTAAGCAAACTTGAGCATTGTCCCAACATGACCCTGCAGGAAGTGACTAATGAATGTCAAAGGTTAGTGAATTTGAAGCACAATACCTCGATGGTAGAAAACACTAACCAGTTCCTCCACGTTAATGCTGTTGAGAGGAAAGTCGAGCAAGGTTCCAGCATACAGAATTATCGAAATGACAGCGGTAAACCATCATCCCCATGCTGGTTATGCGGAGGTTGGCATTTCAAAAGGTTTTGTCCGTTTAAAAGTCATCGTTGTACTACGTGTTCCAGGAAAGGACACAAAGAAAGTCATTGCAAAACCCGAAAACGCCGTCAACCCAAAGTTTATTCTAAAAGATTCAAGTCACGCACAGCCAAGGTGACGGTAGCTGCTAACAGAATCGGCTCCCATAATCGTAGAAAGTATGTTTCCCTCAAGATTAACGGGTACGATGCCCGCTTACAGCTAGACACAGCCTCCGATATAACGCTTATAAGCAGGAGGACGTGGGAGAAAATTGGGAGGCCGAGAATATTTTCAACCTATCAATCAGCACACGGCGCATCTGGAGGGATTATAAACATTGCTGGTGAGGTTCACTGCAAAATCACAGTCGCAGAGCTTACAAAGAAGGGAGTAATATTTTTGACAGAACGGCCAGCACTCGACTTATTGGGACTTGATTGGATAGAAAAGTTGAAATTATTAGATCGTCCCATAAATTCAATCTGCAACAACGGCACTATGTCGAAAGTTGGGGACCCAACATTGTTTCGTTGGGGGAGGGTGAAGTCAGTGTTATATCGTATGGGCTAGTAATATATATGAACGTGCAATTAGAGAAGGAGCGAATTTATTGATCGGACGCAAATGATACTTGAAATCGTACGAGCAGTCTTGATTGCTAACCGGTCTTGCTATATGCCTAGCCCAGCCCGTTAAGTCCAGAACACAAATAACAGCCTCGATAATATGAATCATTATTTACAAACATAATGGGTTTTTATACAAACCAAAGTAATCAATAACTGAGTATAACTCAAGAATCGTATGATAATAAATCAAAGATCAAAATAAAGCTCACGATAAGAGAAACACGAATATGAATAGTTTAGTTACGTAACAATTGGAAATAGGCATAATACGTTGGTCGATAAATAGTCCTTAGAGTTACCATTCATAATTCACTAGGGGATATAACACCTCCTCTTTTTGAGAAATCCGGATCTTAAATTTCTCGAATTCCTCCTCCCCCACGAAAGACTGTTGGATCCTCATATAGCCAAGTTACTATTAATGTGATATGTTTGTCACATTTAACAGGGAATCCATTAGAACTGACGAGATCATGAGGATCGACGACAATTGATATGAGGTCACCAGCTTTCGATTCTTGTGAAACAGTTTGCTTGAATTTACTCGGAACCTCATTAGTAGATAGTGAATCATTAGGATAATCAGTATCTATGAAAGTTGTATTGGATTCTTGATTATCATTTAATGCATCCGATATTTTTCTCCCATTTTTATAAGAGATTTGAACAGGAACATATGAATCAGCAAAATAATCGGGATCTGGCAGAACAATTAGATAATCTTGATCATTAGATTCATTAGAAAAATTATTTGCATCATGACTGATTTGATTTGGCGCCACTGTATTCACTATACTGCTCGGTTTGTTCCCCGTTTCTTCGTGGGCGGGTACTGCAACAAATTCATGAGCATTTAATAAGACATTGTCTTTCTGTAAACAGGTTGATCCACTGTTTGCACGTCCGTTTTCGGGGTTACTAGGACTTGGACCGTGTATAGGGCATGTCTCTGAAACAGACAGTACCGGACTATTGGGCTGATCATGTAGGACTGCTACTGCTGCATTTAAATTACTATTTTTCGCGGATTCATTGAGGCTTTCCTCTGAATATTCATTTGTTCTGCAATCGATTTCCAGCTCTGTAAGCAATTTAAAAATTAATGCGTCGACTTCCGTTGCACCCCCAAAGCATGGGTGATTCAGCAGCTTTGCATGTAACTTGTCAATGAATTGCAATTGACTCTTTCTGAAGCGCTGCTCTTGTCGCTGGATTAGCAACTGAAATTGATCGGAAGTTAAAGCCATTTCTTTGTACCCGTCGTCAGTAGTTATAGCGTATGAATTCGTAATATATATGAACGTGCAATTGGAGATAGGCATAATACATTGGTCGATAAATAGTCCTTAGAGTTACCATTCATAATTCTTTAGGGGATATAACAGAAACTGTATTGGAATGGTATCTGTCGGTTCACTACGACTACACAGCATCGTGGAACTCAGTGGTGTAATACTTCAGCAGATATGGGTATTTAGTCAAATGTCATTTACTCAGTTTTTGTGTTATTCTCAAGAAAGTTGTCAATACATTTGTACGCTTAATTTTCTCTGATGTGTAGCACATAGTAATGACAATCCAATCTAGATCTAACTTTTTTTGATGAATTAACCAGGGCGAAGAAACAAGAGGAATTTGTCGTTGTCTTATAACCGTTTCTTACATATTGTCACTTCTTCGTGTAACTCACTAAATTAATCACTATTTCACTTTGATGTATATTGTTGTGACAGGCGGTGCTACGCTCTAACCCCTCAACTGACTACCTTAGCGAGAACATAAGAGTGAGTGGGGAAGTGTACTGGTATACCGAATAAAATGCACAAATAATCGTTCATATATATACCACTCTAACCCCTAGGAAATGGATTCATTTCTTAGCCAATAAAATGCACTTGTCTTTTAAGTTACTTCTGAATGCCGTCGATTGACCTACTCAATACGCTACTCCTGATTGGCTCTCCATATCATGTATTATTTGTGTTTTCTTATTTTTTCTTTTATAAATTAAGTGATGATGATGATCCAACTTATTCTAACCGAGATTTACGAAGAAAACTAACTGAAAATAAACGTATAGGTGATAACAATCTAAACAAGGTTTGTTAATAAATTTCAATAAACATTTTAATGAATCCCTACATATAAATTAGTTAATCCATGTTTAATATACACAATGATATTGTAGCAATTTGAATAAATAACATTTCTACTTCATAGAATTAATAGTATCAACAAAGAACTTGATATGTATGCTTCTTTAAATGTTGGTCTTAGTAATAAACTTACCAGGACTAATTCAGTTTCTCCATAAAATTGAAGACTGTGCGTAGGTTGATTAATTACCGGTCTGATGAGTTAGTAGGTATATTCATCGTTCATTATTCTATACTTCTCTCTACCGTGAATTCATTCTTTTATATCGAATTATATTATGTATACCTAATCTTGTTTATTACCACTACTAATATGATTATAGTGAACGAAAACTCAGGTAGTGATAACCAATTCATTTTTCAATGCAAAATTACAGAGTTCTTTCGTAAAATGTGGAAAACCATACATTAAATACTTCATTTGAAAATCTTCCATCAATTGTCTCGAACTCTATCGTTACTTCATTGCTATTACTACTCTTTGTCTACATTCTCATTCTCTTCAATCCGATCTTCTTAACATTCTGCTACCAAGTATTCCACTTCTGATTGATGTTACATACTATTTACGTAGCATGCACTACGCTTCCCCCCTTTGAACGGTCGCTCTCGAGATTGTTCTACTCATTGTGCCATTTTCTTCGTCACGATCTGTGCCACGCTTCCCGTCAAAATATCGAGTCCAATGGCTCGTTGGCCTTCGTAACGATGTCGACCTGCCGAACCATCTAAATCCGGCGTCAGCCCAGCACCCGAGACGTCTAACGCCTGCGCTCCAGTGACCCTTTGAGCCATCCACATCCGATATCCACCCAGTAGCCTAACGTCCCACTATTACTATTACTACTTCATCATTAACTTTGTTAATTTCATTTTTGGATACACATGTCATGTATTCTACATTGGTTTATGTCTAACCAACAAAAAATGTGGAAAATTGAAAATTTTAACGAATTATGATTACTATATTGTAGACCTTTTAGATACAATTTGTTCAGTAGGGAAAATCACTGAGTAATGATTGTAGTTGACCATAATTTCATAGTGTTACTTAACTAAAACAAATACTGTTTTGTCCTCTTTATTGATTATGTTTTTACATCTCTAGGATGAAACTTGATCTTTGAAGTCTGTATACTTTCTTGCAAAGTTCTTCGTAGTTTTTTTTATTTTTGTTTGTAATTGTCCTATTTATTTGACAACGAATAAACCTGTTCTACTTAAAATAGTATCAAGGTTGACGGCGGGATTTTTAAAAAAATATTACCTTTCATCAAAGTTGTTCAGTGTTTTATCAGTAATACTTAAAATGATGAATAAAGGTACTTTTCATAATCCACAGTACATTATTTACTCTTTTAGGTATTCAAACATTATATTGATCTTCAGCATACTATTCAGTCTGTTCAACAAATTATACAAGATCCTGAACATAACAATAAGGTTGAGCATGATGTTAATCGCCAGTCTAATCTGATGAATTCTAGTAAGGACGTTTCTGTTCCTAATCTAGCTTGTTTTGCAACGAACACTCAACAGTGTGAAGATGATAAACTTCCTAATTCACCAACAACATCTGATGATGTGTTAACTTTAAGTTCAGATTCCGATGAAAACGAGGAAACGAATCCTGTTAATAATTTAGGTTCTGTAAACTCATCAGTATCAGGTTCTGATGAATTCACTCCTACTATTGATGTATCACAAGGATCTTCTGTAAAAAATGTTAGACGAAATGAAAAAATCAAAAATGATATCGATGCTTCAAACACTTTGTCTGTCCCCGTAACGTGCTCTTCAACGACGTTACCGACAACTACGATTGATCTACTCGATGATGACAATTCGTCGACGGATTGTTCTACTTCAACACCTCGAGAAAAAAGACCAAGGCTGAATTACTCTTGTCATTCAACTGATCCTTCTATCACGTATAATCATCAATTTCCTTTCTCCACACAACTACTTCAAGAGACTAGACAATCTAGCCAAGTTTTAACAGTGGCCACACGATATGGTCCATATGGATGCGATACATTCAGTCAAATGGCCAGTGCACATGTTGTACACCGTTGTCCTGTAACTACTACTACACTAATTACAAATAAAATACACGAAGAATCCAGTCAACATTTTGTTAATAATTCATATAAATGTTCATCAATGGTACATGTAAATTCTTGCTCATCCACTTTTAAACCTTTAACAACACTGTGTAATAATAATTCTTCAAGTATTTCACATCCTACAACTACTCAATTTCATCTTCCTAATTCATATTCTTTAAATAATACCAACAATGTTACAACATCATGTAAAAATTCTCCTCGAGTTTATGATCACGAAACCATTGAAATTGATTGAAAAAATTGTGTAAATTCCCTGTTCTCCTATTTCATTTCGTACTTACAAATGTATTTATAATTCAGTTTTTTTCTTTTGTGTCTATTAATATTTATTAACGGAAATGCAGAATGGCGCGTTTACCTTGAGACATTTTTCTCCTCAGAAGTGTGGTGCTTTTCTTTAAATCGCTTTATCGGTAAACACAATTTTGTTTTCTTTTTATATTTTAAACATAGATTATTACTTTTCCTAATTATTAAAAAATGTTTTATCTTCAAAGTAAAACCATTATTATCAATCCTAACTAGTTTCTAAACACGAAGTAAAAAATGGGTTCACTGTTAAATTGCTTAATTTTAAAACAATGTTCTTAAACGAGTTTGTAGGTGTCATTACCAAGACTTGATTTGATAATTTTGAATAAATTGAGCATTGGGTAGATTGTTATAAATAAATTATATATTTGTAATATCCCAATGAGTAGAAAAATTAGATTTTCTGACGTTTCGTGACTCAGTGTAAGCCACTTTTTTATTTATTCTCTGAAGAAGTGGCTTACACTGAGTCACGAAACGTCAGAAAATCTAATTTTTCTACTCATTGGGATATTACAAATATATAATTTATTTATAATGTTCTTAAATGTAAAGAAAGCAAGGTTTGGATACAATGATCCTCATCCATCGTGCCCAATTACAAAACAGCATTGTATGGTGTTTTTATATAGTCACTGAATGGCAAAAATTTAGTTCAAACATTTGTCGTAGTGCACTGCAAAGTCCAAATAAGTTTAGGTATATCTGGTTTTTGTGGTCAGTTCTAAACAAGGTGGAATTTGATACATGTTTCCACAGTTCACATCAGCGTAGAGAATGGACATGAGTATTTTTATACAACTGGTTTATTATTGGCTATAAACGTAGTCTATCTATAATTTATGATTCAGTGATGTATACTTGACGATATTCAAAACACTTAACATTCTCTTCTTTCGTCCGGTCTGGTTGATAAGTGTGTGACCTGGTGAATTAATTGACTACTGAAAACAATCGATACCAACTCAATTCGTGTTTGGCTCCTAGATTTCTTGAATGGAAATAAATTTAACTATATTCGGATAATTAGCATGGGAATTTATGTGGAATTAGCGGAACAGTAACTTACTAGAACTTTTCAGTGTACTGACCTATAAAACCACTAAACCTTCGAAAACAGTTTCCTCCAAGTATGGAACTTCATTAAACTGATTGAGGTCGGAAACGTTAACAGGATGTGCTAACTCAAAGTAGTCTAAAGGTTAAGCGCTCGCAGCGGAGACTGAGGGTCATGTGCTTAACCTCCGTCAAAGTCGTATATATGCACTGCTAAGGAGTCTCATACTAATAACACACATTTGTCAAATGCTCCCTGGTTTTCATTGATTATTTAAGTAAGGTCAATATGTGATGTAATCCACAGGAAAGATAAATGATTCGATTATATTCTAAAAATAATTTACACATAATAAACATGATTATTATGTTTTAAGCCTACAGTATCTGGTCAGCTAACTTATCTAAACCCTGCTTCTCAAGTTACAAACTTAATGCTAAAGTATCAAATTCGTTCAAAAACAGTCATTCTTCGACAAATTATCTCTATAGACTTTATGAATCTAACTAGAGCTATGCAATGTAACTAATATTAGTTATAATGATATTATGCTAGTTATTGCAGAACTTCATTCAGACACAATTTAGCGTCGTATTTTCAAGTGTATATTATATCAAGCGGTTACACATCATTTTGTTTACTGATTGCTCTGTAAAACTTTCAGTGTCAACATTTCAGTTGGAGGCCCAGGATTCCTCTAATTATTACTTAACAACCGCTTATTAGTTCAACTGGTCATTCGTTATTTGTAAAATTCCATAGTAACGTATAATTGATACTAAACGACTCAATTTCTTTCATATCTTCATACAAATAACCTTCATGTCTTACTATAGGTCCCTAATCTAACCTACAATCTTCTCTGATGTACGTGTAGGTTAAATGAAATCACATCAATCTATGAAGTTGCTAACATCTATAGGTCCAGGCTTTCTTATTATGGTCAGCGTATTACCCTTAATCTAGAGTTGGAGAAATCGAGAGGTTATGGAGCAAAATCAGTCAAAGTAGTATAGGTGCATTAATTCTTTCTGCTCTAAATCTTCACATGGTAACGACTAACTAAGTGATCCCTCCAAAATCATCTAGTCAGGAAGTAAGCATGTTTATTATGCACAAACTTTTTATCTTTTGGTCTGAAATTTAAAGAAGAAAACCATGGAAATAATATTTTTCTGATTTTCAATACAAGTCATACACGTATAAAAATGACAAAATAATGTTAGCATAGTCACAATGGACAATTATAAAAAGTGTAAGATACTGTTATTTGTAATATATATCTGATAAATAATGTTGATAACTCTTTAACGAAAGAGATATTTTTCTATTGTACTTATGGGATATTCAGTTGTCATCGATAGGATATACGCTACGATATAGCTGAACACAGTTGTTGAGGCTGTTAAACGAACCTGAAAATAAATGAATATTATTATTACTATTAATTTTATTATTATTGTTTACATAACATGTATAATACCTTCGATGATGTTGTGTTCCATGAGGTGGGTAGTTTGATTATTGATATGATTTACTGTATCAAAGAAGTAGTATTCATAATGGATTGATTCAGGTCAGAGTATGAATCTTCTTTAAATATGTCTACCTGAGCTGAACAGTAATTTGTATGTGAAAATTATATTTGAAATAATTTCAGCGATTGAAATTTAAATAATTCCAACGTTTCGTCCAGCTAACTTGTCTGGACTTCTTCAGGGTAATCAAAAGAGTTTTTTTTACAATCATATCAAAATCTATACTACGTTAAACCAATTATATTTGGATGTTGTAAACAGGATAATATGAGTCAGTTAAATGAGACTCATGTAACAAGTTCATGATGTGAAATAAAAGACTGAATGAATTGTGTGTGTATATATATGTAAGAATGAGTTACTAATGAATGATATTCGGTGTTAATATGTTTTTATGTGAAATTTATTTCAAATGAATCATTATTTTAATTGAAATCAATATGAGTTATAAATTCACTTGGTATTGTTTGTTTGAATATTACCATTGATGTTTAGGACTGCAATTGATCAGTCTCTTATTGGCATATGTGCATACTGTGCGTATTGCCTCGATACAGCCTTAATTCACAAGCATTATAAGCAAAGATGGATAATCGCTAGCTGAATGGATAATGCGATGGCGTTTGAAGCGAAAAGTAGTAGGTTCAAATCCAGAGTGAACATCAACTCTGAGATGTAGGTACAGCCAGTTGATGAGTCCCAAGTAGGACGAAACAAGCGTTCTGGATCCCACTGCTTGTCACATGATTCCCATTTAACTGACTCATATTATCCTGTTTACAACATCCAAGTATAATTGGTTTAACTTAGTATATATTTTGATATGATTGTTAAAAAAATACTATTTTGATTATTACCCTGAAGAAGTCCAGACAAGTTATATAGCTTTTATGTACGTCAGTTATTATTTTCTAGAAATGTTTAGCACTTTTAAACAGCCAGCAGATAGAAAAAAAAGTAGGTTAATGCCTAAAATACACGAATTTTAGTCTTACGAATTTTATATTCGAATGGTCAATCCAAATTTTTCACAAGGGGGTTTTGTGGAGATTTTAGTAATTTTATATAATTAAGATCATGAGTCAATTGAAGTCAGACCACCATGGAAAATCTGGAAGCATTGGACGGCCGTTTCGTCCTATTGTGGGACTCCTCAGCAGTGCGCATCCACGATGCCGCCTCGCGGGATTTGAACCCAAGACCTACCAGTCTCGCGCCAGAGTAATTAACCGATAGACCACTGAGCCGGCATTCAGCGGTTTTAATGTCTAACCTCAACCAATCCATGAAATTGCGCGACCAACTTCCATTGTACTGAGGTAGATACCTGTCTCTCCACTGGCCACGACTTCTCACTAGAACTCCAAGAATTACCTCATGGAGCCAGTCACTAGTGAGCGGAATAGTGGATGCGCACTGCTGAGAAGTCCCACAATAGGACGAAACAGCCATCCAGTGCTTCCAGGTTTTCTTTGGTGGTCTAGCTTCAATTGACTCATGATCTTAACTATACCAAATTTTTCCGTTAGTGTGATATTTTAACGAAAAATAAATGAGTAGTAGCTACTAGGACTTATATATTGACTGTTATTATACATACATTGTTGTCGTATAAATATTCAGTAACTAGATTATATATATTCACATTTCTATTATTATAGACTTTCATTTGACCTTTTGACTACTATTATAAGGTTTACTATTTTTAAGTTACATCCAATCTATTAGTTACAGTCTCTCACACACTCACAGTCGTTTCCGGCTAGATCTTTTGTAACTGTTATTTTCTATTCTATGGTATCATGAGGTCTGGTTCAATTGTATATAAGCTGCGTATTCCTGAAATACATGATTTATACAGTGGAAGCTGATATTGTGTTCTGGATTCAGCAGGCAGGGTTAGGTGAGAAGAACCAATAAGGACTCAGAGTTGACTGTAGATTATTCATGGTTGTTAACGAGTCATTGGTTTGGTACAGAGTCAAGGTCGTATAAGTCGGCGATCTTGTCACGTGATATTTGACACGGCTACTTATGTCGACAGATATTAGAATGTAACACCAATCGGAAGTAAAATAAATTTGGGAGCAGAAGGCTGTGAATGTCTGCTTTATAAAACAGAGACGGAATTAGAAAGGAATGGTGAATCAGAAAAATCATACAGAATGTAAAAAACAAATGTTGGAAGTTTGTAAATAAAATATTTTATGTCTGGTTCTTATATTTTACCAAGAGATCCTATGATTGTGTATTAAAGTACATTTTGTTGTCCTCATTTGTCTTCTCGTTCATTACCCTGCTTCCACTACGGACGATGTTTCCCTACGGTTTCCATTTTAAGTTAAGACAAAGTTCCCTTTTCACATATGTTGAAATCTACTCGAATCAATAAAATGACCTACTGGATTTAGCACATCCATAATTATTATGGCTTCTCATTTCTCAGCACATGTACTTAAGTAACAAATATTCCATTCAGTTACACCTGAGATGATATTATAAACATACTACAGTTTATTAAAAGATAAGCAGTAAAATATTAAATATTGCATTGAGCTACTTCACTTACAACCTCCAGTTGATCTATGATAAATGGAGTTTGTGCGCCATTTATGAATATCGTAACAATAATAGGGTGTATTAAGTAAGCACTATAAGTGAGACGAGCTGGTACACGAAATCCAGACCATGCAAATGTATTGTAAATAGGCTCTGACAAAAAAGTAATCGGAAAAATCAATAAATTTGCGTTTGAATGATATTTAAGTTGCAAAAATATCTGTCATTCAGATATGACTATGAAATTCTTATCTTCTCACATGGTATTCAAAAGTTATGTTTGATAATTCGATCTTTAATCCAGTGGATGGTTAATTATTTGTAAATAAACTGAAGTTTAGCCATCTTTTGGTTTCACCCAATACATGCAACACTTAAGCTTAACTGTTTTTATCGGTTTGACGAACCATAAGAAATAATTTGTCCCCCAAATGCCCTGGTACAGTCGAGAGTAGGGAGAGTCCTCTCTCCCTCTACAAATGCTCTAACACAGCCACGAGTATATAGCTTCTGCTAGGGAAGTCCCACTCACTACCTTGTCGTGGCTAGGGTGTTGTTTACGAAAGTGAGAGAACGAAAAGCGAATGTCCGAGTTGGTGGACACAGAAAGTTCACCAAGGGGCGTTAGAAAAGCCTGACTCCAAACTAATGGTGCACATGGGCTCCAGTATCCTGAGGGAACAAATGGCGTATGAACCAATCGTTGGTCACCTGATACCATGGTACCGCATCTCCTCACGATGCTCCACTGCCTTGTGGTTCAGACCTTAAGTCAAAGGCTCCGGGTATGGCCCCCTAAGATAACCACCTGCTTCGGTTTGTGCACCCGTGCATTATCACAGCGCATATATATCTGATGTCTCCTTGTACCAATATTTATGTGTTTAGATAAAAAATAATAATAAAGAAATGATTTGGGATTTTCATCATTTTAGTAATCAAAGTTGTATAATAGATCTGGGAAAATGAACAGACTACCAAGAAATGTGTTCATTCCAAAATAGCCTCATACACAGATGGTGGGATAAACATGTTTACTGTTCTTTCCGTTAGCTTTTACATTGTTGTAGATTTCTAATTAAGGTGTTATTACATAGCTGGAAATTTCCTTGAAAATGAAAAGATTGATTGTAGTGGATTTTTTTATGTTGATTGGTATTCAGATCTTTGATACTGTGTTATGCACGTTTACTGTGTGCTATTTCAACCAGCTACTTAAATGGGTAAGAAAGTTTATTGGTTAGTTAAATCACATTCTATGCACGAACTCAATCATTAATAAAGATATGCACTGCTCAGAAACTTAAACCGGGATTTCAATCAATAGCGCATATCTGTCTTCATCTGATAATTAAGCTAACTCTTGGTCATTAGTGTCCATTCGTCAGCATTTCTCGCTTATCATTTGACCTCGAATTGATTAATCTTACTGACCCGGCCTGTCAGATTCCAAACTCCTAAGTTTTAATTTAAGCACTGATAATTCGGATGTTTATTGCTAATAAGTAGTTAATCGTAGACATTAAAATTAAACAAATTACTTACTTCCCCATCCTATTGCACATAAGTAAACCGAAATGCCAATGCCTAAAGTAAACGACACACGATGGAATGCTAAATAAGCGGCTGCTGTTCTACGACTCATTTCAGTCAATAATCCACTCAATACACCATAAGAAATAAATATTGGTAAAACGAAAAGAAATGCAGCGACTAGGTATCCAATTGATACAATGAAAAATTGATTTCTCCGTGTATTTCTCTTTAATGATACAGCAGAAAAAAATATGAAGTAGAAAGGAACGGTCAAGGGGATAAATACTGATCATGTGATTTTATGTTCAGAACTCTTCTGAATGCAATATTTTGATCAGTGGTAAAGTGTTCAAACGTTTCTACTTAGCTGATGAAGTCAACAACAATTTTAGTTCAGCTGAGAATAAGGCAGCTGATCAGTTAAATAAATCCAGGAAGTTTACTGATTAATAATTCTATAGAGTTGAGATCGTGAGTCAATTGAAGCTAGACCACCATCGAAAACCTGGAAGCACTGAACGGCCATTTCGTTCTATTATGGGACTCCTCAGCAGTGCGTGTCCACGATCCCGCACTCACGAGATTCGAACCCAAGACCTACCAGTTTCGAGCCAGAGCCCTTAAACGATAGACCACTGAGCCGGCATCCAACGGTGTTAATGTCTAACTTCAACTGATCCACGAAATTGAGCAACCATTCACCAATGTCATCGGTGAGTTACTATCTCACAACAGACCTGGTTGAACTCCACTGGTTACTGCTCGAAACTGGTAGGTCTTGGGTTCAAATCTCGTGAGTGCGGGATCGTGGAGCAGTCCCATAATAAGACGAAACAGCCGTCCAGTGCTTCCAGATTTTCTTTGGTGGTCTAGCTTCAATTGACTCACGATCTCAACTCTATAAAATTACTAAAATCTCCACAAAACCCCTTCTGATAATAATTCTATCTTATGGATATATTTCATCATTGATTAACATCAGTTAGAGAGACTTGGATAGCTTAAGAAGACTGATTAGTTGTTTCTTTACAAAATAACACCTAACTATCTTTTTTATCCATTTATCTATCAACATAACCCAATTAAATAAACAGGAACTCTAACAAAACTTCAAGGAATTTGTTAGAAATCAAGTTGATCCATCATATTATTCACTTTGATCTTTGTAGATTGATATTTTGATTGTAAAATTTGTGGGGATTAGAATAATTTGTTATTGATTCTGGTCACGGATTGATATTATGTGCTGGACCATTAAAAACAAGAAACAATTGGTCCATTTCAAAAGAATACTTATCATCAACACGCACCAGCTATGTTGTCAGATAACGACCTCAAGATATGTAGGTATCGCAATTGGTTGCATTATCTAGGAGTCATTTAGTTGCAGATCAGTGGTCCATATACCAAACTTCAGTCAGTTCACAATATATCACGATACTATCCGATCTCAGTCATAAAGAATTGACGAGTTCCATATATGATGATCTACTTAAGTTATAGTTTCTCAGCAAATTGTTTGTTTCTCAACCTAAAGATATTTATCTTTAACCATACAGTTGTTGTAAATCATCAAATTATCTCTAAAACTAACAATTTAAAGATATTGTGTTCGTTCCAAAACCCAAAGATCTCAATTTCAATCTCTTATGTGGATCGCAGATGCAAAATGTTTAGAAGCTGTGGTTTAAGACCAAATAACTGACCCATGATTCCTGGTTTTTAGGGGGGAGAATTATTTTCATAAATAATAATTGCTTACTTAAATAATAACTTACCATTTCAAGTCTAGGATACTCATATAATAACCAACCAGTTAACATTCCAATCATATATGCTCCACAACGTGTATATGGTCTCAAATAGATTTCATCTTTAGCTATACTGTTTATAATCAGGTGATTTTATTGAAAATAAATGTAAATTAACTAATTAATGTGAATGGAATTTCAAATCATTTGAAATTCTAAACGGTTAATGAAATAATCAAAGTGACATTATAAGTATAGAGGTTTTGGGGAGACCGTTAAATTTTTATAATCTACATCAGGGACTGATCTTAAATTTCCACTGAAAAATCAGTAGGCTCCTGAAAGCCGTTTCATCCCATTATGGAACTTCCGAGTGGTGCACATTCAGGACCATAACCGGGACCTTCAGTCTGCTGTGTAAACGCTTAACCTCCAAACAAATGGGTCTAAATCCAATGATTTATATTTCTAATTTAAATTGACTCACAGTATTGCTTGACTGTTTTCATTACCTGCAGTGGATAACTATCTCGAACCCATCATCTGTCTCATGCTTCCTGTTTCTCAATAGCTATCTTATGAAAACCAATTCGTCATGTGAACTCTTAGATAATATTAGTGTTATATCCCGAAGAGAATTATGAACGGTAACTTTTGAGGACTATTTATGGACCAATATGATACGTATATTTCCTATTGTATAATTGTTAAGTAATTTAACTGTTCATATTCATGTTCCTTTTATTATAAACTTTGTTTTGATCCATAGACTATTACTATACGATTTACGATTCCTGAGTTATCCCCAGTCTATTAATTACTGTTCCCCACATTCACAGCGACCTTTGGCCAAATCTTGTACAAATGTTATTTTCTACTTTATGGTACGATGTGGTCTGTTTGTTTGGTATATAAACCCAGTATGTTTGAAATATAATGATTCATATTTCATATTTATGAATAATGACAAAATGGCATTCACGGACACCAAAAAGAATGTTGGATGCTGATTGCACCAAATGATTGCCTGATTTTTGAACAATTACAAACTGACCTTTTTTTGTCCCCGTCGCCAATTGTTATATCTTGGAAATACGCACAATACATTGGTCGATAAATAGTCCATAGAGTTACCATTCATAATTCACCAGGGGATATAACACCTCCCCTTTTTGAGAAATTCGAGCTCCTCCTCCCCCACGAAATAGTGTTGGATCCTCATATACCCAAGTTTCTATTAATGCGATTCTATTTATAACATGTTTCTGGCATTCAATAGGGAACCTGCTAAGATTAACTGGATGGTGAGGATCGACATTTGATGTGAGGTCAGAATTTGATTCTGCAGAAATGTAGTCATTAGACTTATTGCAAACATCACTGGCAGGTTGTGGATCACTATGATAAACAGCGTCCACCAAAACTGCGCTAGGTTCCAGATTTGATGCATGTAACAAATTTTCTGGACAAGCTTGGTAATCTTTATCATTAGATTCGGTAAAAATTTCTATTGCAGAATGCGATTCGCTCCGTGTACTGCTCGATATTATGTCTGGTACTTTTTGGGCGGTTGACATGGCATCATGTTGATGAGAGCTCAAAGCGTCACTGTTCGGACCTGCTAATTCAGGAATAGTGGGGTTTGAATCCACTACCGGGCACGTTTCTGAAATGGGTAGTGATGGACAACCGGGCGTCTTCTGCGAGACTGCTGTTTCGTTTGAGTTGCGGCTGGTCGAGGATTCATGGAGGCTGCGATCATTTTCCAGCTTTGCGTGAAATTCTGTGATTAATCCATCCACTTCCGACGCATATGCAAAGAATTGGTGATCCAGAAGCTGTGTGCGTAGTTTGAACATGAACTCCAAATGTCGGTCAAATAGCAACTGTAATCGATCGGAAGGGAGCGTCATTTTTCACTGTATGAATAATGACAAAATGGCATTCACGGACACCAAAAAGAATGTTGGATGCTGATTGCACCAAATGATTGCCTGATTTTCGAACAATTACAAACTGACCTTTTTTTGTCCCCGTCGCCAATTGTTATATCTTGGAAATACGCACAATACATTGGTCGATAAATAGTCCATAGAGTTACCATTCATAATTCACCAGGGGATATAACATGTGGTATTCTGGAGTTAACTGACTGGTCTAGGCAGAAAGCAGGACCGACAAGTACTCTAGACTGCTCGTACGGGTTTTGTGTGTCGCTGGTCCGATCAATAAATCACTGCTCTCCAATTAGCGGCATCATTACGTCATATATAAACAGGGCACTCAGACGCACGTTATAACAATTAACTTAATGCAATATTTAAGTGTGACAAGTCAATATTTAAATCTGTTGTTTTCCGGAATCGCCACTATTATAACTGAAAAAATTTGGGTCCGTCAGCACTGTTGTAACTGGGCTCCCAACAGTTATATTTGGGGAGTCGTTTCTTCTTTGTACGTATTGACCCTGTTGAGTCCCCAGCCTTACTTTTCTTACTTGACAATCAGGAAACATTGTATTCCTTCGATTCTACTGCTTGTATTGGGAAAGGAGAACCATTGCAATCCCCATGACGCAAAGTGAGAATATGAATGACTTGTGCAATTAAGTTTTATTAACTCCTGAAAATCGCATCATCCCCCAACCACAATACAACTATTTATGTACCGAATTTCATGTACACTACATAGTACAACATGAGGGAGGAGAATACGTATGGTTATTGTAAAATCATACACAATAAATATAATTCATCCGAACTAATGCAGGGAATAAAATTGTCACATTGAACGAAAGTTCACACTTGTCATATAGAACAGAAATTCCACTGAATTGATACAAGAAAATGATAATTTCAAATGTCACACTGAACGTAGTTTGGACCCTGGACAAAATTCATTAAGTTTTGATACAAAAATTTTGACCTAAATGAAGTTATTTTCTTATCTTGTCATCTCAGGTTCATGTTTGGAAAATAAGCCACCGATTGTGTTATTGATTTAATGAGGTTTTTTGCTTACCTTGCACTAGTTCGTAAATTCAACTTTAGTTACATTTTTACATAATGCAGCTCAATCTATTCAATAAATGAGTGCTCAGAATGAAAGATATAAGATAAGATTAAAATCTGCTGCCTATTAGTTGAAAGTATTATATCCACCAGGGGAATAACAAACTGATATTGAAAAATTAGTTTTCATTATCATAAATCTGACTATTCTTAAACAGTTTAACGTGTAAAACAATTTTTCAACTAAACACAGAGTAGTCTATTGTATTGATAGTTTATTATGGATATAAAATCCCTGATGAATGTAAGGTGTTTATTTGTTACTCTCATGCTTTAAAAAAACACTAGTTTTCAAAGTTAAACAGTTTGAGTTCTTTCTCCAGTGCATATATCAACGCTCAATACTACTAAAACCATTTGGTGAGTTATGAATACAACTTAATTTTTTCTTTATTCCAAATCCAGTTTTTCACATCTTGTTTCTTGATATCAGGACCACTTTTGATTCTCTGGAAACGACTTCTCTGGGACTGTCTGTTAGTGTGACTAAGACGTTTGACATCTTAATGATTCTCTACAAAACGTTTCAGGTATAGTAAGACCACGCGACCACCTCTTTCGATTGTTCCACTAAAGCAATGAAGATAGGAAGGATTTCCCAATCTCACCATTCCTCCCCAACTTTGTCATCAATGACATTCTGGAAACAGCTGTGATGAAGTAGGTGATAGTGGTGAGGATCTGCTACTTAGGAAAACACTTCTTGACCTTGAGTATGTGGATGATATTGTCTCACTGTGGAGCTTCCGACTATCTAGGTCACCTTCGGCGCCTTCGTGATGCTAGTCTGACTGTAATGTTTCGGGATTACTACACGTCAATGAAAGCAGCTTTTCCATATGCTTGTGAAACCTGACCTCTCCGAGTTGAGGATATCAGGTGACTCTGTGTTCGATCATAGTTGTCTCCGAAGAATTGGTGACAGTGGCAACACCATTTTAGCAATTCTGTGTTCGACAATGTGCATTCGGGAACATTGATGATAATTCAATTGGTGCAACCATCTTGAAACACTGTCTTCGGTGGGTTGGACAAGTGTGGCGAACACTGTTCCGATGAATTCCACATGGTTCATTATTTGACGAGACTGGAAGTGGTTGGTAAAAGCAAAGGGTTTGTCAGTTGATGACACAATACTGTGACTGTAATCTATTGGTCTGTTTTGACTCCCTTTTGGGGAAGTAGATGTTATGCAGCTCAGCGGCTTACGTCATTACCAGACATGTTTCAGAATAGAAGCCAGTGACCGTGTTTCTGTAATTTTTTTTCTAGATTATTCATGAAATTGAAAGGGTCTTGTTTAACCGTGAGAATTCTTCCGGTTATATTTTACCTTGTTTCTTCTATTATTTACAACTCTCGTCCACTTATTTTTTATGGGTTTATTTCCTTTTTTCAATCATACTCGCCTTTCTTCTTTTATCTCTTCACGACCTTATTTCCTTACTGTATGTCGAATATTTATTTTGATGTTCCTTCGCACCAATATTTATGTACTTAAATAATTAAGGAATCCTACTCAACAACGTTTGCATAATAGTTTAACATTTTATAGAATAAACAATAAAAACTTATTTTCATAGTTGAAATCATGAGTCAATTGAAGTTAGACCACCATGGAAAACCTGGAAGCACTGGACGGTCACTTTGTCCTATTATGGGACTCCTTCCAGGTGTTCCATGGTGGTCTGGCTTCAAATGACTCATGATTTCAACTATGAAAATACACAGAAACCCCTTCTGATCAATAAAAACTTACTCCATAATTTCAAATGAATGAATATAGGCAGTAAAATATGTGATTAATGAAGATAATAGAATAAATGAAAAGGCGAATAGAATTCCAGTTATTCGTTTCCTATAGAAAAAAGAAAATCTATTTAAGTTTATATTTTGTGATTAATTTACTATACGAATTCTTTATTGATAATCTCAATAATTCCATATAACTTTGGTAAGACTACGTTTTATGGGCAACCTTCGAATGATCCTTAAGTGGTTTTGAGAATATCTGCGTACTTACTAGAATTATAAATTTGTATGAGAACTTGAAATTGGGATTCACAGTTGGACGTTAGGTTTAGGATTCTCATCACTTCAACTTTAATCCTAAAATGATATGGATGAACGAATTTCACATCGAAATCATCCTTAAATCTAATTGGTTCATTCATAAGTTATAATCTTGCCGAATATTTAAATATTTGTTTTAAACTAAAATGTTGACAGTTAAAATTATTAGTTGTATTGTTCAACATTCATTTATAATTATCAATTCACCAGTTAATTCAGTGCTTTCTTATTGAAAACTACGTGTCATTTAGCCCATACTTTCTATTGATTCATTAAATAAATTATGCATATTGGATAATAGCCTTCTTTTTAAATAGGTTCTTTTCAAAGAGTCTATGATTTTCAATATCACTGATTTACTTGTATCAAGCTATACTACATTGAGTATGTTGCTGCTAGCAAACATTCTGTATTAGTTTGTATTACTTGATATCTAAAACTGTAGTTTAGAGTTGTTCGTAATTGAGTGTTTTGTTTTATTTTTGCGTCAATCTTCGGTAATTTCTGGATACATTTTATTCACTTTGATATAGTATATATTATAAGTGTTTAGGCAGATGAATCATTGATGTTTGTTCAAGTAGCTAAGATTATTGAACAAATAATGGAAGATGGGCAGATTGTGAAAATGTCTTTAGTGTGGTTGTGTCTCTAGTTTAGGTGGTCTTTTTTGGATAACATCATTAACGTCTAATTTATATAGAAGTGAGAAATCTTTTATTCCATAATTGTCAAATTGATATATTTTGATGGTATTGCTTATCCTCGGTGCTTTAGTCATCTTCGCTTATTTTCGAATTCCCGTTGAAATTTTTGTTCGTGTGACATTGGACCGAGTGATCAGTTAACATTTTCCATACCAATTGGTAAATCAGAATTATGCTTACATTGTCTGCTCGTTAAACAGTAACTAGAATGCTAATTTATGTACACATTGGGAGTGTACAACGTCTATTTTGTCCAATGAAGTACTTCTATCAGCTTGTACATTTTATTTTGTGAATGACCTTAAATTTGTGTTCATCTGTTGTTACGCCCTCTATCTTCATGAATTGTAGTGGAGCTGTTGTATATCATGTTTCTGACGGGAAGGTTTGCTCACAAATGACTAACAGTACTATACGATTTGTCTTTGAATACCATGTCTATCAAAATATCATTAACATAAAGTCTGTTTTACTCAGGAATCCCGCATCAGAAGATCAGAAAGTTTGCTGCAATACAATCATTAGGTTGTGACAAACAATATATATATATATATATATATATATATATATATATATATATATATATATGACTATTTTCTTTTATTATTTACTCACAAGTGACATTATCTATTCTCTAAAGTATTTCCGGTCATTCAGTCAGTCAGAGGTTCCGCCCTGTGTAATCTATTTAGCTTGGATTTGAAGTTTGGTTCTTTGAGTTAATCATACGTTTTGCCACCTTAGTTTATTTAGTATTTTGTTAATCAATAGTATTGTCATAACAATATTTTGAGGTTCAGATAAAAAATTCTATTTCTAGAAACACGCATTTTATAATGTTCCGATTATGAAGCTATCTAATTAGCATATTATCTCTTGAATATTCTTTGTCACTGATATGGTAAAGTTTGATATTGAACTAAATTGGTATTCGGTTCCCATTACAGACCAATCTAACTAAAAAGCCCCTTAAAAGTTCAAAGTATTAGGCAGCGTTTTCAACATAACTTGATATTACTCATCAGTATCTAGCCACCTCAACTTCTTTAAATAATAATAAAATAATCTCATAATTATATGGCAAGTCAAATTTGAATAGTCGACATTACCATTTGTAGCCAGTTGAGAATAATCAATGTCAACGCTGTAACCTTTCATACTTAACATCCCTAAACGTTATTTGACAAGAATTTTTTTAAAACTTCTTGATTTCATCCTGAATGTATGCATTGGCAACTATTACCTGTCAAGATATATGAATCTCTCAAGGGAATGGACGTTTCTTTGTGAAATGTCGAAAGCAATACAAGATATTGGGCAACACTATGGTCTTTGAAAATAGGATTTATTAAATGTGCTTATAAATAAAAACCATCTATGAAGTCACTTGTTTCAGTATTCTCAAGATAATATTATCTACTGTAAAAATATTTATTTATAAACGATCTTCCGAAAACATCACTTCGAAATCCTGAAGACGTCAAATTTTGATTATATCAGCATAATGAAGAATAAGAAGTTATAATTGTAATGTATTACAAAATCTAAACCGACAAAAATGTGCGCAGGTTAATTTCTCTATATCTGACTACACTAAATAATCTTCCGTTAACTGAGTATTTACGCTGCCCGAATCTCCTAGCAGTATTACGAGTTTACTCGAGATTATTCAAAAGCCAGAACACCAGTTGTAGAGGTAATATGTCGTTAACAATTGATAAAAATTCGCAAGTATGCAGAAAACAAGCACACAGGGAAGCGAGTGTGAGGATGTGTAAAGAGCTAAGAGAAACGGACCAGAGGAGATATATTAGCCAACTAGATTTAATCATGAGTGAATCAATATTTATAGTCGAACAAAAATAAGTAACAGACACGTAAAAAGTAAGATGAGCACTTGATACGCACACGGTCATACAAAAACAGTCAGGATTAATAAGCGAATAAGTGACAGTAAAAATATAACTTGAGAAGAATGAATAAATTGGTTTGTTCATACTCTAGAATAACCTATGTAGGCTTGATATAGTACCAGCCCCTAAAGATTAATATTTCATATTCTATCAAATATATCAGTGTTTTCATGCATTTATTAAATACAATTAGCTTTTAAATCTCTTGACTTCATCATTTGCCGAAAATACATAGATCATTTAATATCTTATCATATGATTTACTATTTTGTCTTACAGACAAGGTTCCAAGTTTCAAATAAAATTAGGAAGTTAAGGATTTTTATTCATTACTAGACGTTAATAAGATTTAAATCCAGTTATTGTTACTCACTATTATTCTGGAAATTTAACATAAATTATTGGGTAAGCAAAGATGGATAATGACTAGCGGTGGAATCCAGGACGTGCGTTTCGTCCTATTTGGGGCTCTTCAGCTGGATGTACCTGCATTCCAGAGTTGATGTTCACTCTGGGACTCGAACCCTGTACCTTTCGCTTCAAACGCCATCGCGTTATCCACTCGAACACTGAGTCCTGATAGCCACTTGTTTGTAAGATGGGGTGAAGTTTAAATTCATTTAGTATTGTTTGTTTGAATCTTCCAATCGATGTGTTAGGACTGCTTGTGAATTGCTTGTGAATTAAGGCTATATCGAGGCAATACGCACAGTATGCACATATGCCAATTAGAGACTGACCAGTTGCAGTCCTAACATATCGATGGGAAGATTCAATTAAACAATTCTAAATGAATTTAATTACTGGGTAAGTTGTTACTGTATAATTGATGATATTATTGTTTGTGTTATTCCCTATCGATTCGTCTTGAACGTCAAATCAATGTATTGACAATCATTTTTAACTCTTATCAGATTTTTTTGGGAAACTATTTTCTTTCCTTCTATTTACTAAAACAATGGTGAATAGAAGTTATTTATATTGTGACGTGATCTACTTATACCCACATAAGTAGTGTATGGTGATGGTCAGATATAGAATGTATTTTGGCAGAAGATCGATAAAAAACGAACAGGAATGAAGCGCAATCGGTAGGAAAATGCATGAACAATTAAATCAGAGAAGAAGGACTGATATTTTCAGACGGAACAGTTAAGATTGAGTCAATTGATTTTTATTTTGCAAATTAACTGTTCACTGTATGGTTATCAGAATTTAGTGAGATAGTCTGTAATTTGTTCTTAGATATATTTCATTGTCCGCACCCGTGTTTTGTTCACTACAATGTCACTAGGCCTTGACTAGTCAAGTATGCATTAACAATATTACATAATTAATCAAATCATTAATAATACACAAATAAAAGTATTTCTTTGTTTTCATTTATGAAAAGTAATTTCATTTATAATGGTAATTACTCAATCATTGAAACGTTTTGGGGGGAAATATGTTTACAAATAATAATATTATTTAATAGGACGAAACGGCCTTCGACTGCTTTCAGGTTTTCAATAGTTGTGTAGTCTAATATTGATCGGTTCATAATCTCAACAATCTCCACAACCATATACTGATAATAATTATTTTTGTTTTCTATTTTAAATCACTAATTCAACTTACCACACAAGTAAAGTTATAAAAATTGGCGCTAAAATTACAGTGTACTGTATATCATTTGCAATGTACCATGACCATTGTAAACACTGAAAAAAATAGAATACATAAGCAACTGAGGGCATCGATGTATTATGATAAAGTTTCGGTAGGTGTGAAGAAAAAAATTTCTTTTTTTTTGTAATCTTTACAGATAAAATACATTTTATATTTACTGGTCATCATGTTTAGCATGTGCAGTCAAAATTTTCACGAATACTCATGCACATTTACTTGTGTTATACTATATAGATATAAGTATGATAAAGTATTTCCAAACTGAACTATGTACTGATTACAATAAATATTCGTGAAATTACCCTGACATTTTCATCTTACTGCGCTAACGAGTTGCGACGCCTTGAACTGGTGTACTTATATACTATGTTCTGCATTGCTTATGGCTAACTTGACGCTGGATACATTATAGCGAATCACCTGCAACCTATTTCGATTATGTTTAATTTTGGTGAAACCCTTTTATTACCTTAATTAACAGACAATCTTCTTTGAACAGTAACAATTCGTATATTTCTTTGTACTGTTATGGTCACTAAAGCACATGACAAACTCTATTCAAAATGTTGACTGCTTAAATTCCACTGTATGATTCATCCTCCTCCCCATGTATATATTTACTCAAATCCTATTATTAGCTTTTGCTTTGCCTTGCTGCACTCTTATGCAATTTGACTATAAAACTGCTCGCATATACTTGTTCGCCTCTCTGCGCCAAATTCGTTTGATATGCTCATAACTGCGCTAGCCGATAATAAAGTGTAGTTGCCGCTTCTCTTTGCTTTCTGATTTCAAATAACGTTGAGATCTATATTATGAAGTTTATCGAGGTGAACGATTAGCGAAGCAAAGCCACTATAACATAAATAAATAATTAGCAAACTGAAACCTTCATTTAAATAATCTTCTAACACTCATTAGTAATCTAATTCTTTTACAGGTAACTCCTTATAGTTTTAGTGTTACAAAGAATGGGAAATATAAACTTGTATCGAGAAAGATTTGAAAATATCTGCTAGCGAATCCTTCAAACTACATGGGGATAATTTTGAGATTTAAATTATCTTTTTAAAAAATTAGTAATTGAAATTTAACAGTTTTGATATGAAACAGTAAAATAATATGGGCAGTGAACGGATGTTCTATAGTACTAGTGATCCAAATCAGTAGAGATTGATTGTACTACTTGTTATTAGCATTAAAACGGCTAGTATTACCGCAACAGTGGTTCCTTTAGATTGCTTAACATTTGTATATCATGGAATATACTGATCAAGACATCATTATAGTTGGTTGTGTTTATTTTTAATTTGAAATATGACATAAGGGATCGACTTTAGTTAGAAAATCAGGTAGAATTATGAAGCACTGGACAGCTGCTTCGTTCTAGTATGAGACTGCTCAGAAGTAAGCATCCTTAGATCAGCTGGATATCGAACTGCGGATCATCAGACTAATGTTTAAAACATAGGAAATTTCGGAAGTCAATACAGTTGTACATTGAAAAGACTTTGGAAGTAATCATTCATCAAAATCACGAAAATGATTTTCATGAACATAGTACGTCATATCGTTAAAATTGCACGTCTTAGCTATTATTTTACCCAGTCCAAAAGCTTTATTGTAAGGAATTCTGATACTGACTATATCTTCAGTTTAATAACAACATAACTCAGGTACTATAAGTCACGACTATATATATACTTGAAAACCTTTAATGTAAGTAAACTATGTTAATATGATAGTAATCATAATAACCGTGTACTAATTAATAACTACTTTCGAGATGTAGTTACCGCAGTTCTAGATAGAAGTAGAGTCCAAAAGAGTTCAAGCATGTTGAGTGCGAGACAATCGCTCACTACTAGTACTGCACTCACATTTATTACAGCCTGAAACGCAAACTAATGGGTGCCGGCTAAATGGTCTTAAGGTTAAACCACCAGACCTGAAGATTCTGGCTTCTATGTTTCGGAGAGTGGAAAGTTAACATTGCTGAGTATCATACAGTAATGAAAAACCTCTCTATTTCTCCCTGATTTTCTACGGTTGTTTTTCTACTAAAGTTGATCGATGATGTAAGCTATAGAAGTTTTTAATTCGACTGGCTTTCTATTTCATTTTTCTCTGTTAGTTGGTTGGACGCAACCGACAGGATACTCTAGAACTATATTTCTTTCTAATCCCCATGTGTTAACATTCTTAAAGGAGCTAATACTCTTTTTTTGGAAATTGGACCTGTAATCACAATTGATTGATCACTGGGTGGTGATCAATGTCATGTGTGTCAAGTCCTCCTTAGTGCTAATCGAATGCTATCGATCAAGTTGCAATGTGGCCACTAGTCTAGGTGGCTAGAGACTGCATGCACTATGTTGAGATAAGATGGTGGTTGGAGGTGGTCAACAGGAAACCCTAGACCGGGGTTTCGTGCTACTTGGCACTCGTCTGACTGTGAAGCTGAGTGACACGGGATCGAATCCATCAGGGAGCACCAGTTCTCTCAAGATTACAGGTACACCTTGTTGACGAATGCCAAGTAGCACGAAACCCGGGTCCAAGGTTTCCTGTTGACCACCTCAAACCACCATCTTATCTCAAATTGGACCTGTATCAGACAGTGATAAAATCAGAGAAATTGATTCAGCCGAATAATCTTTTGCAGAAATGAGATGTGTACATTAACTGATCAATAAATCTAAACCAAAACCGCGATGTCTGGTTCTTATTACCTAAGCGAATTGTTTAAATAGATTAAAATTATATACAATAATATATACATTGATGACTTACACTATTCCGAAAATCGATTACATTGGTTAAATACAAGAAATACCAATATTTTCGACAATTCTCTATTACTGGTGAATGTATATCTTGTGGAAAAAATGGTCCATCATATATATGATTTAATAAACCCGTAAAGAAGATTACTGTAACAAGGTAAGCTGGAGTAAGTCTAAGTTCAATAATAAAATGCAAGATAGGTGAGTAAAATGTACCATTAAATTTTTTATTTGTACTGTAAATAATGTGAATGAAATGTCAATGATTTTATCAAATCGATTATGGTATTTCACAGAGCTTTCAAGTCTTGTTTTCTTCAAAACAAAAATATTGAATAGACACCTTCTAATGTTACTAAAGATATACTTACCATTCATCAAATTAAACTAAATTCACATAAGACTGGAGTTCATCTAATGAGGTGATTGTAAACTTAATCAATTAAAAACTAATGAACTACTATCAGGTTTATTAAGGTATCAAAATACCTGCGTATGTTAATTTTATTGAAGAAAATAAGTTAAATGATTTTATTGAATAGTTTCCATTGCCGTTTCGGAGTATATCATTAGTTTTAACTATTATCTAACTGAGAAAAGTCGATAACATTGAAAGGATCCACTTCAGTTCTATAATTTCCCTCTATCATTTCAAATACATGTATATTTACTTGAAATTAATCAGTAAAACCATATGTACGAAATAATTATGTAATAATTCAGTTGAGTTTAAAATACTGATGAGCCAAAGATAGCTCTGGTACAATTTTTCGAAAACAACCCATAATTTCAAGGCTTGTAATACATCCAACAATTTACTATTGATTGATCATTGACTGGTGACCAATATCATGTATTTCAAGTCTTTCTTGACTTGACATCAACTAGTTGTAAATACATTGCAGTTCTACAATGTGAACCAACTCTCAGGTGCTCACTGGTAATGTCTATGATTGTAAAACTAGGTAACATGGGATTGAATCTGCCATGGAATATCAGTTCTCTTAACATTGTTATTACACCTAGCTGATTAATTTCGAGTAATGTGAAATCTATGTTAAGCAGGGTCTCCTATCAGCTAATATGTATATATCCCTGTCTAAAAGAGAACTCGTAAGTAATTTTAGTTAGAAGAGGAATTGTGGTGTTTGTATGAAATAATGGGTCTTTTGTACTTGATGCCTGTCTGACTTCAAATTCTGAACACATTACGTTCATTTGTGGCCATCTAGTATGTCTTGGTCTAAATTGCGTTATTTCTGGGATTCCTAATTCGCACAATAATCCAAATACTTCCAATTATCACAGAAACGTACACATTACTTAAAGCATTTTAGATAAAGTATCTCAGAAATGATGTAATTGTTTAATTTTATCTAATCATTGTGTTCTGGACTCAACACGCAGGGTTAGGTGAGAAGAACCAATAAGAACTCAGATTTGACTGTAGGCTATTCATGATTGTTAACGTGTCATTGGTTTGGTACAGAGTCAAGGTCGTATAAGTCAGTTATTTGATCGTCGATCTTGTTACGTGATAATTGATAGAGTCAAAAGTCATAACACATGTTAAGGAGGAAGAATGTGTTTGTAAAGTCTCAGCGAATGAATTTGAACTAAATTCAACGTTTAGCCTGATAATCGAATATATTCGATTATTTTGATTTTACAAATGCATTCTTCCTCCTTTTCATACATCAACTACATCAAGATTAGACGAAAGTTCTTATATTCTATTATATCTCGTGGTAAATTACGAATGGTAATTTTTGAGAACTACTTAGGGACCAATATGATACGCATATTTCTTATTGTATAATTGTTATGTAACTCAACTATTCACATTCATGTTCCTTTTATTATAAACTTTGTTTTGATCCATAGACTATTACTATACGATTTACGATTCCTGAGTTATCCCCAGTCTATTAATTACTGTTCCCCACATTCACAGCGACCTTTGGCCAAATCTTGTACAAATGTTATTTTCTACTTTATGGTACGATGTGGTCTGTTTGTTTGGTATATAAACCCAGTATGTTTGAGAATAATGATTCATATTGCAGAGGCTGTTATTGGTATTCTGGACTTAACTGACTGGTCTAGGCAGAAAACAGGACCGATAAGTATTCTAGACTGCTCATACGGTTTTTCTGTATCACTGGTTCGATAATCCACTCCTCTCTAATTGGCGGTCTTATCACGTCATATATAAACAGAACACGTATGCACTCGATATAAAATATTCATTACAAACGTGTTCTAAAATTATGGATCTTTATAAACTGTCTATTTAGATTTTTCCACTATTCAGAATCATGTTTTTATTTTTATGTGTTTATCATTTACCGAATGTACATAATAATTATAGTTGAAGTTTGTTAGTTCAAATATATTGAATCCATTTCTAAAATAAAAATGAAATAAACTTCCAGTACAATCTAAATTCCCCTACTATCTCTACTAATATTTAGAACCAGTTTATGAAATTAACTATCCTACCTGATAAAACGATGTACGATTAACATTGACCAAAATTTCATATGGTTTTTCACACCAATTAAATTTGTTAATCGTCCCATACATAGATAACACATTAATAAACCCCTGAATAAAAATAGAAAATCGTCATGATTAATAGTTCCATAAATTATGAATAATCAAGTTGTTAATTACAGTTTAATGAACGAACAGTTAAAAAGGATACTTAATTGGGTAGTTTAAGAATAGACACTAAAGAGTTTTATTTATTTATTTATTTGAACACATAAATATTGGTACAAGAAAGCACCAGATATATATGCGCCGCACAAATCTCATTTGATTTGTGTGAGGGCTGTGATACTGCACGGGTGCCCTAACTGAAGCAGGTGGTTTTCTTAGGGGGACACATCCGGAGCCTTTGACCTCAAGATCTGACCCACAAGGCAGTGGAGCATTGTGAAGAGATGTAGTCCCATGGTATCCGGTGACGAACGATTGATTCATACGCCATTTGTTCCTTCAGGATACTGGAGCCAGCCCATTGGCACCATTGGTTTGGAATCAGGGTTTTCCAACTCCCCTAGGTGGATCCTCTATATCCACCAACCCGGTTAAAGCTCCGGACATTCGCTTTTCGTCCTCTCGATCTCATAAACAACACCCGTGGTGCGAGAAGGCAGTGAGCAGGACTTCCCTGGCAGAGGCTATATACTCGTGGCTGTGTTAGAGCATTTGTAGAGGGAGAGCGGACTCTCCCCACTGTCGTCCGTACCAGGGCATTTGGGGGCACACTAGAGTAGTCGTAGATTAAAATGAAATATTGGTACAGTGCTTCCTGGTTAATTCATTAGTTTTCCAGATGATCCCGCCTCTTTATCACAGAAATATCTACTCTTCAGATTGATTAATTATTTTAATCAATAACTGCTAACGGTTTAGAAACTGATTTAGATTCAATATCGTTCAAAATCAAACAGTTGACAGAAAATATAAACTTTTAACCAGTTATATTTCCATGTACTTTATAATCATTGCTACTCCCAAAAAGTAATATAGTCAGAAATGAAGTCTAAACACTTTCGAGTGATTTATTGGAAGTTGGCTTGTATGTATCAAACGGAATATGATAAGTTGTTGTTGCTGTACGTGCACTGTTTTTTGGACTGCCTCGATATAGACATTATGTTAAATTTACTTAAAATAGATAAATTACACATCTCGCAACAAAGATGGATCCAAATATCAACAATAGGATAGCTTAAACCTACACTAATAGTGGTATTAACGATAGGTACTGGATTCAAGTTCTAATGCGAATATTTATACTAGGATGTAGGTACATCTCACTGACAGGATCCACCTTACTCTTATTGTTGAATTGAAACTTACAAATCTCTATATAAAGAAATGTTTAAAACAACACAGATTAAAATATACTCACGACATAAAAAAGAAGATATCGGGAGCTAAATGTCCATTGAAATACATTCCGAATAGCCAAATACGTCGAAATTCACCAGCTAATATTATTAAATTATCTAAAGTAATGTTGTTTTTTTTGAAAAGAAAATATAATTTCAAGTGGACTTCAACATTTCCAGTTGTTGTATTAATGATTATGCAGATTTAAATATTAGAATTTTCCATAGTGGAACAAAATTCAGAAACACTAGTTGGCCATTCTGTTTTTATATGGACCTCTTCCTCAGTAGGAATCCACTGCCCCTCTAAGAATCGAAACCAAGATCTTTAGTCAATATTGGGAATTAACTGAATTCCCATATATAAATCATTGTGTCCCAACTTGCCACATGATCTAGAGGTTCAAACTCTCATATCTTATAATGTCACCAATACGCATTACTTAATAGTTTCATTATGGAATCAAACACCTATTTGATGTTATCGAGTTTCCTGAGATTACCCAAATACGATTCATCTGTGATATATAACTATAAAATTTGCAGTTATAATTCTCCGGTTTCATTGGCTTCAAATTAATATTTGTGAGTTATCTAGGTAATTTTAAGCACAAAATAGTGTCATCTAGTGAATCATCGAGAATTCACAAACCATGGATCCAAGTTGAATATTCTATAACAACACAAATAAACTATCTTACGCGGGATTAAATTCCATAATTCTACAATACATATACGGCATGATACTTTCAGACTGATGAGCTATAATTTCAATTTAGTCACTTCTTGAAATAAATCGAATCTGAACTAACATCACTAATGAGATACCATTTCACTTAAAAAATTTACATTAGAACTTTATTGGATGGTATTTTTTAGTTAAGTAGAATAGTATTGTAGAATCACAAATAAATACATAAAAATATCTATTTTGATAGCTTAGGACTGGACAAGTCTTTTCATATAAATTTGGTAGAAGTGGATATCGACTAACTTATGACAGTTTACTATTGCGAGGACAAAACAAAGTACTACAAATAGACATCCTTAGAATTGTTAGTCTAAATATCATACTACTCATTATTGACTCAAGTAGATTCACAAATAGTACATTCCACTTTGCTCTGTGTTTTTCAAACCATAATTTAACCCCCGGGTCACAATATCACTAAATTATTGAATTAGTAAAATATGATTCATATTTTCCAACACAGTTACTTGACATATGAAATCAAAGCTGTGTAAGCCTGAAAATCTAATGTGAGTCTGTTTTAAAACAAAATTAAGCGGCATTCAAATAACACTGAACCATGTAAACATTCTCTAAATGAAACTACTTTTAAATGACACTTCTTTGCTCACCACAAATGTGTTACCATACCACACGGAATCCTATAATCAGAGAAATATATGTATTGAATAGCTCTAAGAAGTTAACAGGAAATCTTAAACATAGGTTTCATGCTAGCATCAAAACACTTGTTTGCAAGGCATATATTTATTTTTGACAGAACTGATATTCTTATGAGTTTAAAATCCGCATCATTAAATGTTATCATAAGGTGTATGACCATTGAATTATTAGAACTGTGACTAGTATTATACAAATTTGACATATTGACACTAATCAGGCAATTAGCAGTAAGTTTAGTCGATCTTTTATCCAAATGTGTCAATCAACACTTTTCAATATGATTATTTGTCTAAATAACTTAATATTTCAAGATTAGTTATAACGTTGGGATCTTGAGAAAAGTTGTCATATGGTCATAGATAACGATAGCATCTTTATTTAAAACGTTTCAGTATAGTTTATAATTTTTACCTGTAAAGCAAAACCGTTATACAAATTGATAATCGGACTTAGAATATTTACAGTCATAAGTAATGTGTTCGAACCAACTGAACTCACTTGTCAACTTATAACCATGGAGTAGTATATGTCCACCAATAATCCAAATCATTGACATACATCGAATACCATCAAGAAATGTTAATGAGATATTATATGTTCTGCTGGATTTATCATCTTCCATTCTTTGTGCACATAATTTCATTGTATTAATTGGCAATGAATAAGCACATAGGATTTTTGTAAGAATACGCTTTTCCAAAACACCTTGTAAAAGAAGGGAATCTATTTTGTATATATGGAATATTTGAATACTCATTGAAGAATTACACTGTACTTAGAATAATTTACAGTTCATAATAATAATATCAAAAGGAGTTTTGTGGAGATTTCAGTATTTTCATAGTTGAAATTATGAGTCAATTAAATCTAGACCACCAAGGAAAACCTGGAAGCACTTGACGGCCGTTTCATCTTATTGTGGGACTCCTCCTCCAAAAGTGCTATTGAGAAGTAGTGACCAGTGAAGTTCAACCACATCTGTTGTGAGATAGGAACTCACTGGAGACAATTGGTGAACGGTTGTTTAACTTCGTAGATTGATTGAAGTTAGATATTAACACCATCCAATTCCGGCTCGGTGGTCTATTGGTTAAGTGCTCTGGCGCGAGACTGGTAGGTCCTGGATTCGATTCTCGCGAAGACGAGGTCGTGGATGCGTACTGCTAAGGAGTCCCAAAATAGAACAAAAGGGCCATCCAGTGCTTCCAGGTTTTCCATGGTGGTCTAGCTTCAATTGACTCATGCTTTCAACTATGAAAAATATCAAAGTTATAAGACAACTTACAGATCCATTCAAATAATATAAGTGGTATCTGCTTGCTTTTTCTGTATAGTATTGAATATATTTTATAGTATTTTTATGAGATTCAGAAAGAACTTTTGTTGGAAAAATGTGAAAACTTTGATAAAACAATAATAGTACTAGTAATATGAATAGTAGTAGTGATGAAAAAATTCAAATAATGTGATGCAATTAATAAATGTTTTGGCATTTAAAAAGGTCATAGTCTAGAAAATCAGTTGATAAATACTCTATAATGCTTCAAAATATAGTTTGTGAATAAGCAAATCCTGGTCACAAAAGTATTAAACTATCAAAAAACAGATAAGAAAGTTGAATTCATATGTCGATCTAAGCCAGACCACTATTGAATACCTGAAAGTAAGATAGGAAAGTGTTGAAAATCCATAGTCTTTTTATATTATTTCATATTGTCATAAGAAAGAGAGAAAAAAACATCACAAACTTGATTAGAATAAAATGACCGAGGTTTTTGGCTAGGAGTTCGATATTGTACGTTATATGTAGTAATTCGGTTTGAGCAAAGTTACGAAAATGTAATGGGTTGTGATGCATAATTTTAAATGATCTAGTTCCATTTCACCAAGTAGTTTTTTATCAAATGGATGTGATAAAAATAGTTGACTTTGGCTGATCTTTTCCTCAATCGATGAAGTGATTATTGGTTATTTGGTAGAGATAACTGACAACACTCTAATTACGAAAAGGAAGATGAGTTTGCAACTACACAAAAGGTGGTGCAATAAGATTAATTACCATACCTATGGTTAATCTGAAGTATAACAAATAAAGATTGACACCAAAAAGTGTCATTTAACAGTCTTGATTAATTTCTAAGGGTAAGTCAATCTCTTTCGAATTGTCGCTCACAAAGTAGAAACATCTTACGAATACACAATTTTTCTAAGTTCTTGTTCGTCTTATGAATATAGTTATCGACAAAACTCTTGAGGTAACTCATTTCACCGAATATTTTTGATATATACTTCTCTTCTTATTCAAGTCAATATTTCTTGGTTTATCAGAGTAACATGTTTCGAAGTTTGCTTTAGTGTCTAATGACCGCGAATTGAGAGCATTATTTATTCTGACATTCTGGCAAGTCTCGTCTGTACGCATTTGAATTAATAGATTTATCATTTAGTTTGTTTAACGGAGAATTTTAAAAATTGCAATACATCAACAAACTTTCGGTAAAATGTAAAATTAAGTGATTTGGAGAGTATGGCCATGGACTACAGAGATAAAGCTAATTAACCTGATTAACGGATTTTTGAGTGATTGGGTTCTTATTTTGCAATAAATATAACGGGTTAACTTGAAAAGAATGAAACCTTAGGAAATATTAAATCATCCACTACCATTAATATTCACAGATCAATAATTTGTTACTTCCGTAATGATCCAGGTTGGTTTATAAACAATATTAGTCTGTAATGTTGGCTTACAGTCAATTTTTTACACAACTAAGCTACCTACATCTGTTACTCCAAATCTGAATCTTATTCACTCTCAGTTCGAGTAATTAAAACAAAACATATGAGTTCATTTCATTTTCAAATACTTAATATTGCCTTAATGAACTTGCAGTCTGTACATGCGTAGAGTGTTAATTTAATAAAGGTTTCTAAAATATATTTGCAAAGATATTGAAAGTGTATCATACTAAGCTCCATATTGCATCCATTTTGTTGCGTAATCATTATTTGACCGGACTTCTCTTACTCATCCACTTGTAATCAGTTTAAATTATTTAATAGGAAGATTTTTGTGAAAATGTTTACATAAAACAGAAAAGAATTTTCATTCCAAACTGAATTTGACTAAAACATCATTGTAAATTATGAATCACTGGTTGACTGTTTTGTCCTAAACAAACTCTGTGCGAAAATGTGCACCCTTATATGCTGGATTTTAGAACCTTCACCTTTCTTAGTCAGTACAGTGTCTTAACATAAGTCAGTTCGAATCTTATATTTCACATTCCAAACATTGGATAACTTATGATGCAATGCAACATTTATTCAATATGATTAGTGAGTTTCTAAATCATGACAGTGTTTCATGACTTTAAAATATACTAATTTTTATCAACATTGAATGAGCGACTATAACGACACTAGCTCATTAACTGATCAATATTTTAAGTAGACTTATACCAATATCTGTTTATTTTATTGAGTTAGTTGGCTTCATAGTCTTGGATTTCATCACAGTTAATTCATAATAGACGATTAAATAAATTTACAATCCTTCAATACTTTATTGTTCATTCAATCTTTTCTACATTTTTATTTACTTAAGCTACTACTGAAATGGACTTCTGACAAACAAAATATCAATGTCTCTAATTGATTACCTTTGTTTACGAAAAGACTTCTTTTAAGTAATGAATATCAAAAAAGAATAGGTTTATAATAACAAATAGTTACTGAGTACTTCATCTACAAATTATTATTATTTTCATAGTTGAAATCATGAGTCAACTGAAGCTAGACCATCATGGAAAACCTGGAAGCACTGGACGGTAGTTCCGTTTTATTGTGGGACTCCTCAGCAGTGCGAATTCACGATCCTGCCTCTCGAGATTCGAACCCAGGACATATAAGTCTCGCGCCAGAGCACTTAACCGATAGACCACTGAGCCGTCATCAAACGGTGTGAATGTCTCATTTCAACCAATCCATGAAGTTTGAGTAACCGTTCACCAATTGTCTTCAGTGAGTTGATATCTCTACAACAGACGTGGTTAAACTCCAATGGTCACTGCTTTCCACTAGAACTCCAGGAAATATCTCTTGAAGTCAGTTACTACTGAGCATATGATGACTCATTATTTCAACTATGAAAATACTGAAATCTCCACAAAACCCCTTCTGATCTAAAAGTATCATTAACATTTTTATTTTATTTCATCTGACAAACTATTTACAACTAAGGTTTACTGAAAAGCTTTATTGGTTCTCATTTGAAAAACTATAGAAGAACTCACTGAAGAACTCACCAACAATAGACTCTAGGAACTTTATATCTCTGGGTGATCAAAGTGCTTTAATATAATAATCATGGTTTGTTATATTTGATCCCTATCTTATTTTCAGTTTATATGTGCTTCATCTGATATGAACTCAGGAGTTTATACTAAAGTGTGTCAACTGTGAGTAGATGATTGTAGTTTAGCTGATTCGTTGAACAGATCAACTCCACTTTAATTTAGTTTTCGTCATAAATTGCAATTATAGATTTGAGCTAATTGTTCACAAGTAATGAAGTGAACAAAACGCGGCTGGGGACAATTGAATGCATTAAGACACAAATTACAGACTATCTCACTAAATTCTGATAACCATACAGTGAACAGTTAATTTGCAAATTAACAACCAATTGTCTCATTCTTAACTGTTCCTTCTATAAATATTAGTTCATCTCTAATTTCATTGTTCATGCATTTTCTTACCAATTGCGCTTCATTTCAGTTCTTTCCTTACCAGTCTTCTGCCAAAATACATTCTATGTCTGACCATCGCCACATACTACTTATATGGATATAAGTAGACCACACTACAGTATGACCTTTACTAAGAAATTTCAAGATCTCTTGGTTCGATTCCTAATGAGGTCTTGAACATATACTTCTATGGAGTTTAAAAATATAAAGCTTTTCGACCACCTACTGCTCTTTAATTCCCATTAGCTCTTTAGATAAAGTCATTCCATGATGAAAATTATCTTCACAGTTAAATATAATCATTCATAATTTGTTTTCAGTTGTCAAACATTACTGTATCAAAAGTATTTTCTTTCAGCTACACACACACGCCCATACACAAAAGCACATTACAATGTTTCATTCACACATGTTAACACATACAATGCTCATATTGTGTCAGGTAGTTTTGTTAATACTACATTCTATAGAAGAATCAATAAATCACTAAATCAGTTATTCATCATACGATACTAATAAACCAGTCTACTTTACATGATATGGTTTCCTTCATTGATTTATAAACTACTTGTTTATTAGCTAAACATTCAATTGGTTTGATATTCTGTTGAATAAACCATTTGATTGACATTGATTAGTCTAATGACTATACACCTTACGATTTTCTTAGTGAACAAATTTATATCTTACGTTAAATTATACATAACAATGCTGAACAGATTAGGTTAAAAATATCCGTAACCTGAAAGTTGTGTTTGGAAGTTCATTTGAAGTTAGAGTTATCATTTCTATTACTAGTTATATTATTGAGGCAAAAGTTTTACAATTTCAAGGATACTTCATAAATGAGCTCCGTGACGAAGTCTTTAAACTAGTGTAATGTGTATGTTTTGAGCTTGAAAGTACTATGTTCTTCTTCTCAGAATATACTTCGCTCCATTCCATAACATAAAC